TGAAATTCGCCAGGAAATTGAATGCCCAATTTCCAGACCTCAATTGAATTTCGTCAAATTTTCCAAGCCTCAATTCGACATGTCCGAACCTAAATTTCGCAATTTCAATTTTGCCATTTCCGAACCTCTATTTTCCAATGTGCGCATCAGTCCGAGCCTCCGGCGCATCAGAGCTGATGCGCCTGCAGAACACGGCCAAAGAGTAACAAAAAAACTGGAATAGCAATAAATTTGTACGTAAACAAGCATGCACCTGGGGTTTTAATCTGGTAAGATCTGTACACAATATGACATGGTACTGTACCATGTATAAATTATCGACCTCAGGGCCACACATCAGGAGTATTTGCGAGGGCCATAAGTTAATACCTAAAACGCTGATGACGGTTATGCTGCTGGTGTTAAAGGCGGCTGTTTCTTAATGGTGGTGATTGTGATTGTAATGGTGATTGTGATTGTGATTGTGATTGTGACAGTGATTGTGATTGTGATTGTGATTGTGATTGTGATTGTGATGGTGATGGTGATGGTGATGGTGATGGTGATGGTGATGGTGATGGTGATGGTGATGGTGATGGTGATGGTGATGGTGATGGTGATGGTGATGGTGATGGTGATTGTGATTGTGATTGTGATTGTGATTGTGAATGTGAATGTGAATGTGAATTGAATGTTGATGATGATTGTGATTGTGTTGGTGATTGTGCCGGGGCTGCCAGTGTCGACGCTCCTCGTAACGATGCTGTTAGCCTCGCAGGTGCTGGTGCTGGTGCTGCTGCTGGTGCTGCTGTTGCTGGTGCTGCTGTTGGTGCTGCTGCTGCTGGTGCTAGTGCTGTTGGTGCTGCTGCTGCTGGTGCTAGTGCTGTTGGTGCTGGTGCTGCTGGTGCTAGTGCTGTTGGTGCTGCTGCTGCTGGTGCTAGTGCTGTTGGTGCTGCTGCTGCTGGTGCTAGTGCTGTTGGTGCTGCTGCTGCTGGTGCTAGTGCTGTTGGTGCTGCTGCTGCTGGTGCTAGTGCTGTTGGTGCTGCTGCTGCTGGTGCTAGTGCTGTTGGTGCTGTTGCTGCTGGCAGTGGTAAAACGGCAGGGCTTGAAGCACTGGGAGGAGGAGCGATGTCTTTTGGTGGTGGGAATGGTGGTGGTGGGGATGGTGATGGTGGTGATGGTGGTGGTGGGGATGGTGGTGGTGGTGATGGTGGTGGTGGGGATGGTGGTGGTGGTGATGGTGGTGGTGGGGATGGTGGTGGTGGTGATGGTGGTGCTGCTGATGCTGGTGTTGCTGCTGGTGGTGCTGCTGTTGGTGGCGTTGCTGCTGGCAGTGGTAAAACGGCTGGGCTTGAAGCACTGGGAGGAGGAGCGATGTCTTTTGGTGGTGGGAATGGTGGTGGTGGGGATGGTGATGGTGGTGGTGGGATTGGGGATGGTGGTGGTGGGAATGCTGTGCAAGAGGGAAACATGAAGCAGAGGGAACACCAACATAAGGAAAGCCAGGGAGTGGATCAGCAAGCCAGAGCATCAACACGATCACATGCGCAGTGCTTTCCAAATGCTGTGACTTTTGAGTCGGCTCAAAAGTCACCTCAGAAGGAACACAAACAGCAAGGAAATCCAGGGAACAAATCAGCAACGAAAGCCAGGGATAAATCAGCAAGCCAGAGAATCAAAACGATCACAAGGATAAGCATTGCTTTTTAAATGATTTCGCAAGGATTTCTGTTCACTCCAAATTCACACCAGATTACGCATGCCTAGAAAATGTTGAAGATACTCGGATGTTTTTACAAGAGATCACCTGACAAACCACCTGATGAGGAAAAAGTTCACCTGGGATACGACCTGGAATGAGCAGGTGGGAACTTACGAGGGCTGGGAGGAGGGAGAGCTGGTGAGCGGCGAGAGATTAGGAGGGGGGCGGGGAGGGGAGGATGAGAGGAGGGGGGGACGAAGAAGGTACGGGAGGTACTCACGAGGGCTGGGAGGAGGGGGGGCTGGGGAGCGGCGGGAGATGAGAAGGGGGCGGGGAGGGGGAGGAGGGTTGGGAGGGGGAGGAGGGTGGGGAGGAGGGGGCCGAGGAGGGGGTAAAGGAGGTGAGGGAGGGGGAGTGGGAGGAGGTGATGGTGAAGAGGGTGGAGGGGGGGAGGAAATCGGAGGCGGAATGGGTGCTAGAGCGGGATCTTGTGCTGCGAAACAAATGGGAATTAGGGGAGAAAGGAGGGAGTATAGAAAACAGAAGGGAAAAAGAAAACAAAATGGGCGCGTTGACGTGAAGATCGAAAGGTCGCAGGTGCAGAGCAGACAAGGTTAGAGAATACGGTTTTTGAGGCGCCTCAAAAGTCGTCTCATGTTTTGAGGCGCCTCAAAAGTCGATGACGTGAAGATCGAAAGGTCGCAGGTGCAGACAAGGTTAAAAAATACGGTTTCAACCCTGGTTTTTTTAACCCTGGGTGCAGAGGAAAATGCATGGAGACATGGTTGGGGGAAGGAAAGGAAAAACCAGGGGAGAGGGGAGGGCAGGGAAGCATTGAAATTCGTGAGCAACAGAACAGAATAAGAACACGTTTTCGAGTTAAATACTCTACTTTGATGGAATCAGAACTCTACTTCTCTTGCACACGGCCTTTGGTTTGCCGCCATACCTATCTCGGGTGGAGGAGGGCTGCACTGTGCAGTGGGCAGTGGGCAGTGGGCAGTGGGCTGTGTGCTGTGTGTTAGAATTATATGTTCTAGCATGCTAACACTTGTGACTGTACACCAATTGTGGTGTACAGTTGGGTTGGGACTACACCCAACTTTAGGTGTAGTCTTGCATTGGGGTGCCAATCCACCCAATTGTGGTGGAGCCCCCAAATGCAACCCACTTGGCCTAAGGTTGCCTCACTTCCCAAAAGTGAGGCCAACCCAACCCAAGTGGGCCTGAGGTTGCCTCACTTCCCACAAAGTGTGGGCAACCCAACCCACTTGGCCTAAGGTTGCCTCACTTCCCAAAGTGAGGCCAACCCAACCTATGGCCAACCCAACCTTTCCCTTCCAAGCTTCTCATCCAACATATGTATGCTTGTTTCTCCTCTAATGGATTCATTGGTTCAGTTTCCTATTTTCACACCGTGTGCTGTGTGCTGTGTACTGTGTGCTGTATGCACCCATATCTATTCCGAACTGGTCCATTGCCCTCATACATACATACATACATACCCGTTGTTGTTTTTTAGAATTCTCAAACCATGCAGTGTGCCACCATACCTGTCAGCAGGCCCATTGCTCGTTTATCATACATACATGCAAACATACATCATACCATACCATACCATACCATACCATACCATACCATACCATACCATACCATACCTGTCATAGGCACGTCTGTTTCTCTCATATATACAAACCGTTAGAAAATGGTGGTGGTGGGGGTAACGGTGGTGATGGGGGTGGCGGCGGTGACTGTGGTGGTGGCAAGAAGAGCGGGGGAGGTGGAGGGGAGGGAGGAGGAGGGGGAAGAGGAGGCGAGGGGGGAGGAGGAGGAGGTGGGCTGGGAGGAGGCGGAGAGGGGGGAGGGTAAGCTGCAAGGGAGACAAGGGGTTGGATGTGAGGGGATGGAAGGGGAAAAGGTAAGGAAGGAAAGGAGGGAGAGCGAGTGAGTAGTGCGGGGGCGAGAGAAGAGCACGATTGGGGAGATGTCGGTCTGACTTTCGGGAAGGAGCGAATGCAGAAATTTTTTATCGTAAGAGATGCTCATTATAACGAAAGTCACTAGAATTGACAATCCATGCAAAGAAGAATGGCGCAAAGAGAGTGGGGCAAAGAGAGTGGTGCAAAGAGAGTAGGGCAAAGAGAGTGGTGCAAAGAGAGTGGGGCAAAGAGAGTGGTGCAAAGAGAGTGGGGCAAAGAGAGTGGTGCAAAGAGAGTGGGGCAAAGGGAGTGGTGCAAAGAGAGTGGGGCAAAGAGAGTGGTGCAAAGAGAGTGGCGCAAAGAGAGTGGGGCAAAGAGAGTGGTGCAAAGAGAGTGGTGCAAAGAGAGTGGTGCAAAGAGAGTGGTGCAAAGAGAGTGGTGCAAAGAGAGTGGTGCAAAGAGTGGGGAGACGTTTGAGCTAGAGGATGCATGGTTTTTGAACCTGAGGGGCAATGGGCTGTGGAGGATGGGCAAGCACCACAGGGATGATGACCCCTGTGATGTGAAGGTGTTGCCAGCGAGTTGTCTGATGGGTGGGGCGGTGGGGAAAAGTAAGGGGAACATTCAAGTGTGTGAGAAGATACACGGGAAGGGGGCCAGGAGCTGTGGAGGGTGAGCAAGCACGATAGGGACAGCCCCTGTGAAAGTGTTGCCAGAGAGTTGTCTGATGGGGGGGGGGGGGGGGGGGGGGGAGGGGATAAGGGAGAGGGAGACGATAGAGTGAGAGGCTACATGGGAAGGGAGAACTGACGGGGAGGAGAGTAAAACAAGGAGCATAGGGACTTCAAAAGACAAGGAGTGGTGGGTGGGAGTTCGTATGTGAAAAGAATGGCAGCGGGATAAGGGAGACGATTGATGGGGATAAAGGATAAATGGGAAGGGAGAACTGACGGGGAGAGAGTAAACAAGCAGCAGAGGGACTCACACGGTGTAGAGAGTGGGTGAGACAGGGAATACAGAGTCAGTGATTGGACCGGAGAGGTTGTTGTTTTGCACGTTGCTGTGAGGGAGGGATGGGGAAAGAGGGGTGGAGAGTGGAGGGTGGAAAGGGGAGGGTGGAGAGGGGAGGATGGATGAGAAGGGTGGAGAGGGGATGCTTAAGGGACGAATAGAGATTGGAGGGTTCGAGGGTGGAGAATGGAGAGGGAGGTATTTGGAGTGAAGAGATGGAGAGGGGAGGAAGGGAGACGGGAGGATGGGAGAGCGGAGATGACATGGAAGACCCTCACTCACAATGTGAAAAAGGCCGGGTTGGTGATCGAAGGTTCAGGGAGGCGGCCTGACAGCTGGTTGTTGGCGAGCAGGCTGCATGGATGGTAGAACAGAGAGGTCGAAGTTTTTCAATAGGAATGAGAGGGGGTCGGATCAGAGAAGGTGGGATCAGAGAGGGTGGGATCAGCGAGGGTGGGAACAGAGAGGGTGGGAACAGTGCGGTCTAAGAGGCGGCTTGCAGTGGAAGTTGAAAGAGCACTGACGGTGGTATGCAGCCCTGAAGCAGGTTGTTGGAGAGGCTCCTGTGGAGATAGGGAACGGAGGGAGAGAGAAAGAAGGACAAGGGAGAGTGAGGGACGGAGGGAGACAATTGCTGGTCAACGGGTTCGTTGTGCAGGAGAGCGAGCGAGCGAGCGGAGCAAGTGCTTTCTTTGTCACTCTTGAGGGAAGCCCATCAGAAGTTGTAACAAGGAGACGGCAGAAGAAGCTAGGGGGCACACAGGGGCGGAGTGAGGAGCAGAGTGAGCAGCAGAGTGGGGAGAGGATAGGATAAGAAGGAAAGTGCAAGGAGGGCATGCTGCCGTGCAGCCCGTTGCGCTGGATGGAGCTGATGAGACACGGTGAGGAGGCACACAGGGGCGGAGTGAGGAGCAGAGTGAGCAGCAGAGTGGGGAGAGGATAGGATAAGAAGGAAAGTGCAAGGAGGGCATGCTGCCGTGCAGCCCGTTGCGCTGGATGGAGCTGATGAGACACGGTGAGGAGGCACACAGGGGCGGAGTGAGGAGCAGAGTGAGCAGCAGAGTGGGGAGAGGATAGGATAAGAAGGAAAGTGCAAGGAGGGCATGCTGCCGTGCAGCCCGTTGCGCTGGATGGAGCTGATGAGACACGGTGAGGAGGCACACAGGGGCGGAGTGAGGAGCAGAGTGAGCAGCAGAGTGGGGAGAGGATAGGATAAGAAGGAAAGTGCAAGGAGGGCATGCTGCCGTGCAGCCCGTTGCGCTGGATGGAGCTGATGAGACACGGTGAGGAGGCACACAGGGGCGGAGTGAGGAGCAGAGTGAGCAGCAGAGTGGGGAGAGGATAGGATAAGAAGGTAAGTGCAAGGAGGGCATGCTGCCGTGCAGCCCGTTGCGCTGGATGGAGCTGATGAGACACGGCGAGGAGGCACACAGGGGCGGAGTGAGGAGCAGAGTGAGCAGCAGAGTGGGGAGAGGATAGGATAAGAAGGAAAGTGCAAGGAGGGCATGCTGCCGTGCAGCCCGTTGCGCTGGATGGAGCTGATGAGACACGGCGAGGAGGCACACAGGGGCGGAGTGAGGAGCAGAGTGAGCAGCAGAGTGGGGAGAGGATAGGATAAGAAGGAAAGTGCAAGGAGGGCATGCTGCCGTGCAGCCCGTTGCGCTGGATGGAGCTGATGAGACACGGCGAGGAGGCACACAGGGGCGGAGTGAGGAGCAGAGTGAGCAGCAGAGTGGGGAGAGGATAGGATAAGAAGGAAAGTGCAAGGAGGGCATGCTGCCGTGCAGCCCGTTGCGCTGGATGGAGCTGATGAGACACGGTGAGGAGGCACACAGGGGCGGAGTGAGGAGCAGAGTGAGCAGCAGAGTGGGGAGAGGATAGGATAAGAAGGAAAGTGCAAGGAGGGCATGCTGCCGTGCAGCCCGTTGCGCTGGATGGAGCTGATGAGACACGGTGAGGAGGCACACAGGGGCGGAGTGAGGAGCAGAGTGAGCAGCAGAGTGGGGAGAGGATAGGATAAGAAGGAAAGTGCAAGGAGGGCATGCTGCCGTGCAGCCCGTTGCGCTGGATGGAGCTGATGAGACACGGTGAGGAGGCACACAGGGGCGGAGTGAGGAGCAGAGTGAGCAGCAGAGTGGGGAGAGGATAGGATAAGAAGGAAAGTGCAAGGAGGGCATGCTGCCGTGCAGCCCGTTGCGCTGGATGGAGCTGATGAGACACGGTGAGGAGGCACACAGGGGCGGAGTGAGGAGCAGAGTGAGCAGCAGAGTGGGGAGAGGATAGGATAAGAAGGAAAGTGCAAGGAGGGCATGCTGCCGTGCAGCCCGTTGCGCTGGATGGAGCTGATGAGACACGGTGAGGAGGCACACAGGGGCGGAGTGAGGAGCAGAGTGAGCAGCAGAGTGGGGAGAGGATAGGATAAGAAGGAAAGTGCAAGGAGGGCATGCTGCCGTGCAGCCCGTTGCGCTGGATGGAGCTGATGAGACACGGTGAGGAGGCACACAGGGGCGGAGTGAGGAGCAGAGTGAGCAGCAGAGTGGGGAGAGGATAGGATAAGAAGGAAAGTGCAAGGAGGGCATGCTGCCGTGCAGCCCGTTGCGCTGGATGGAGCTGATGAGACACGGTGAGGAGGCACACAGGGGCGGAGTGAGGAGCAGAGTGAGCAGCAGAGTGGGGAGAGGATAGGATAAGAAGGAAAGTGCAAGGAGGGCATGCTGCCGTGCAGCCCGTTGCGCTGGATGGAGCTGATGAGACACGGCGAGGAGGCACACAGGGGCGGAGTGAGGAGCAGAGTGAGCAGCAGAGTGGGGAGAGGATAGGATAAGAAGGAAAGTGCAAGGAGGGCATGCTGCCGTGCAGCCCGTTGCGCTGGATGGAGCTGATGAGACACGGCGAGGAGGCACACAGGGGCGGAGTGAGGAGCAGAGTGAGCAGCAGAGTGGGGAGAGGATAGGATAAGAAGGAAAGTGCAAGGAGGGCATGCTGCCGTGCAGCCCGTTGCGCTGGATGGAGCTGATGAGACACGGCGAGGAGGCACACAGGGGCGGAGTGAGGAGCAGAGTGAGCAGCAGAGTGGGGAGAGGATAGGATAAGAAGGAAAGTGCAAGGAGGGCATGCTGCCGTGCAGCCCGTTGCGCTGGATGGAGCTGATGAGACACGGCGAGGAGGCACACAGGGGCGGAGTGAGGAGCAGAGTGAGCAGCAGAGTGGGGAGAGGATAGGATAAGAAGGAAAGTGCAAGGAGGGCATGCTGCCGTGCAGCCCGTTGCGCTGGATGGAGCTGATGAGACACGGCGAGGAGGCACACAGGGGCGGAGTGAGGAGCAGAGTGAGCAGCAGAGTGGGGAGAGGATAGGATAAGAAGGAAAGTGCAAGGAGGGCATGCTGCCGTGCAGCCCGTTGCGCTGGATGGAGCTGATGAGACACGGCGACGAGGCACACAGGGGCGGAGTGAGGAGCAGAGTGAGCAGCAGAGTGGGGAGAGGATAGGATAAGAAGGAAAGTGCAAGGAGGGCATGCTGCCGTGCAGCCCGTTGCGCTGGATGGAGCTGATGAGACACGGTGAGGAGGCACACAGGGGCGGAGTGAGGAGCAGAGTGAGCAGCAGAGTGGGGAGAGGATAGGATAAGAAGGAAAGTGCAAGGAGGGCATGCTGCCGTGCAGCCCGTTGCGCTGGATGGAGCTGATGAGACACGGTGAGGAGGCACACAGGGGCGGAGTGAGGAGCAGAGTGAGCAGCAGAGTGGGGAGAGGATAGGATAAGAAGGAAAGTGCAAGGAGGGCATGCTGCCGTGCAGCCCGTTGCGCTGGATGGAGCTGATGAGACACGGTGAGGAGGCACACAAGGGCGGAGTGAGGAGCAGAGTGAGCAGCAGAGTGGGGAGAGGATAGGATAAGAAGGAAAGTGCAAGGAGGGCATGCTGCCGTGCAGCCCGTTGCGCTGGATGGAGCTGATGAGACACGGCGAGGAGGCACACAGGGGCGGAGTGAGGAGCAGAGTGAGCAGCAGAGTGGGGAGAGGATAGGATAAGAAGGAAAGTGCAAGGAGGGCATGCTGCCGTGCAGCCCGTTGCGCTGGATGGAGCTGATGAGACACGGCGAGGAGGCACACAGGGGCGGAGTGAGGAGCAGAGTGAGCAGCAGAGTGGGGAGAGGATAGGATAAGAAGGAAAGTGCAAGGAGGGCATGCTGCCGTGCAGCCCGTTGCGCTGGATGGAGCTGATGAGACACGGCGAGGAGGCACACAGGGGCGGAGTGAGGAGCAGAGTGAGCAGCAGAGTGGGGAGAGGATAGGATGAGAAGGAAAGTGCAAGGAGGGCATGCTGCCGTGCAGCCCGTTGCGCTGGATGGAGCTGATGAGACACGGTGAGGAGGCACACAGGGGCGGAGTGAGGAGCAGAGTGAGCAGCAGAGTGGGGAGAGGATAGGATAAGAAGGAAAGTGCAAGGAGGGCATGCTGCCGTGCAGCCCGTTGCGCTGGATGGAGCTGATGAGACACGGTGAGGAGGCACACAGGGGCGGAGTGAGGAGCAGAGTGAGCAGCAGAGTGGGGAGAGGATAGGATAAGAAGGAAAGTGCAAGGAGGGCATGCTGCCGTGCAGCCCGTTGCGCTGGATGGAGCTGATGAGACACGGTGAGGAGGCACACAGGGGCGGAGTGAGGAGCAGAGTGAGCAGCAGAGTGGGGAGAGGATAGGATAAGAAGGAAAGTGCAAGGAGGGCATGCTGCCGTGCAGCCCGTTGCGCTGGATGGAGCTGATGAGACACGGCGAGGAGGCACACAGGGGCGGAGTGAGGAGCAGAGTGAGCAGCAGAGTGGGGAGAGGATAGGATAAGAAGGAAAGTGCAAGGAGGGCATGCTGCCGTGCAGCCCGTTGCGCTGGATGGAGCTGATGAGACACGGCGAGGAGGCACACAGGGGCGGAGTGAGGAGCAGAGTGAGCAGCAGAGTGGGGAGAGGATAGGATAAGAAGGAAAGTGCAAGGAGGGCATGCTGCCGTGCAGCCCGTTGCGCTGGATGGAGCTGATGAGACACGGTGAGGAGGCACACAGGGGCGGAGTGAGGAGCAGAGTGAGCAGCAGAGTGGGGAGAGGATAGGATAAGAAGGAAAGTGCAAGGAGGGCATGCTGCCGTGCAGCCCGTTGCGCTGGATGGAGCTGATGAGACACGGCGAGGAGGCACACAGGGGCGGAGTGAGGAGCAGAGTGAGCAGCAGAGTGGGGAGAGGATAGTATAAGAAGGAAAGTGCAAGGAGGGCATGCTGCCGTGCAGCCCGTTGCGCTGGATGGAGCTGATGCGACACGGTGAGGAGGCACACAGGGGCGGAGTGAGGAGCAGAGTGAGCAGCAGAGTGGGGAGAGGATAGGATAAGAAGGAAAGTGCAAGGAGGGCATGCTGCCGTGCAGCCCGTTGCGCTGGATGGAGCTGATGAGACACGGTGAGGAGGCACACAGGGGCGGAGTGAGGAGCAGAGTGAGCAGCAGAGTGGGGAGAGGATAGGATAAGAAGGAAAGTGCAAGGAGGGCATGCTGCCGTGCAGCCCGTTGCGCTGGATGGAGCTGATGAGACACGGTGAGGAGGCACACAGGGGCGGAGTGAGGAGCAGAGTGAGCAGCAGAGTGGGGAGAGGATAGGATAAGAAGGAAAGTGCAAGGAGGGCATGCTGCCGTGCAGCCCGTTGCGCTGGATGGAGCTGATGAGACACGGTGAGGAGGCACACAGGGGCGGAGTGAGGAGCAGAGTGAGCAGCAGAGTGGGGAGAGGATAGGATAAGAAGGAAAGTGCAAGGAGGGCATGCTGCCGTGCAGCCCGTTGCGCTGGATGGAGCTGATGAGACACGGTGAGGAGGCACACAGGGGCGGAGTGAGGAGCAGAGTGAGCAGCAGAGTGGGGAGAGGATAGGATAAGAAGGAAAGTGCAAGGAGGGCATGCTGCCGTGCAGCCCGTTGCGCTGGATGGAGCTGATGAGACACGGTGAGGAGGCACACAGGGGCGGAGTGAGGAGCAGAGTGAGCAGCAGAGTGGGGAGAGGATAGGATAAGAAGGAAAGTGCAAGGAGGGCATGCTGCCGTGCAGCCCGTTGCGCTGGATGGAGCTGATGAGACACGGTGAGGAGGCACACAGGGGCGGAGTGAGGAGCAGAGTGAGCAGCAGAGTGGGGAGAGGATAGGATAAGAAGGAAAGTGCAAGGAGGGCATGCTGCCGTGCAGCCCGTTGCGCTGGATGGAGCTGATGAGACACGGTGAGGAGGCACACAGGGGCGGAGTGAGGAGCAGAGTGAGCAGCAGAGTGGGGAGAGGATAGGATAAGAAGGAAAGTGCAAGGAGGGCATGCTGCCGTGCAGCCCGTTGCGCTGGATGGAGCTGATGAGACACGGTGAGGAGGCACACAGGGGCGGAGTGAGGAGCAGAGTGAGCAGCAGAGTGGGGAGAGGATAGGATAAGAAGGAAAGTGCAAGGAGGGCATGCTGCCGTGCAGCCCGTTGCGCTGGATGGAGCTGATGCGACACGGTGAGGAGGCACACAGGGGCGGAGTGAGGAGCAGAGTGAGCAGCAGAGTGGGGAGAGGATAGGATAAGAAGGAAAGTGCAAGGAGGGCATGCTGCCGTGCAGCCCGTTGCGCTGGATGGAGCTGATGAGACACGGTGAGGAGGCACACAGGGGCGGAGTGAGGAGCAGAGTGAGCAGCAGAGTGGGGAGAGGATAGGATAAGAAGGAAAGTGCAAGGAGGGCATGCTGCCGTGCAGCCCGTTGCGCTGGATGGAGCTGATGAGACACGGTGAGGAGGCACACAGGGGCGGAGTGAGGAGCAGAGTGAGCAGCAGAGTGGGGAGAGGATAGGATAAGAAGGAAAGTGCAAGGAGGGCATGCTGCCGTGCAGCCCGTTGCGCTGGATGGAGCTGATGAGACACGGTGAGGAGGCACACAGGGGCGGAGTGAGGAGCAGAGTGAGCAGCAGAGTGGGGAGAGGATAGGATAAGAAGGAAAGTGCAAGGAGGGCATGCTGCCGTGCAGCCCGTTGCGCTGGATGGAGCTGATGCGACACGGTGAGGAGGCACACAGGGGCGGAGTGAGGAGCAGAGTGAGCAGCAGAGTGGGGAGAGGATAGGATAAGAAGGAAAGTGCAAGGAGGGCATGCTGCCGTGCAGCCCGTTGCGCTGGATGGAGCTGATGCGACACGGTGAGGAGGCACACAGGGGCGGAGTGAGGAGCAGAGTGAGCAGCAGAGTGGGGAGAGGATAGGATAAGAAGGAAAGTGCAAGGAGGGCATGCTGCCGTGCAGCCCGTTGCGCTGGATGGAGCTGATGAGACACGGTGAGGAGGCACACAGGGGCGGAGTGAGGAGCAGAGTGAGCAGCAGAGTGGGGAGAGGATAGGATAAGAAGGAAAGTGCAAGGAGGGCATGCTGCCGTGCAGCCCGTTGCGCTGGATGGAGCTGATGAGACACGGTGAGGAGGCACACAGGGGCGGAGTGAGGAGCAGAGTGAGCAGCAGAGTGGGGAGAGGATAGGATAAGAAGGAAAGTGCAAGGAGGGCATGCTGCCGTGCAGCCCGTTGCGCTGGATGGAGCTGATGCGACACGGTGAGGAGGCACACAGGGGCGGAGTGAGGAGCAGAGTGAGCAGCAGAGTGGGGAGAGGATAGGATAAGAAGGAAAGTGCAAGGAGGGCATGCTGCCGTGCAGCCCGTTGCGCTGGATGGAGCTGATGAGACACGGTGAGGAGGCACACAGGGGCGGAGTGAGGAGCAGAGTGAGCAGCAGAGTGGGGAGAGGATAGGATAAGAAGGAAAGTGCAAGGAGGGCATGCTGCCGTGCAGCCCGTTGCGCTGGATGGAGCTGATGAGACACGGTGAGGAGGCACACAGGGGCGGAGTGAGGAGCAGAGTGAGCAGCAGAGTGGGGAGAGGATAGGATAAGAAGGAAAGTGCAAGGAGGGCATGCTGCCGTGCAGCCCGTTGCGCTGGATGGAGCTGATGAGACACGGTGAGGAGGCACACAGGGGCGGAGTGAGGAGCAGAGTGAGCAGCAGAGTGGGGAGAGGATAGGATAAGAAGGAAAGTGCAAGGAGGGCATGCTGCCGTGCAGCCCGTTGCGCTGGATGGAGCTGATGCGACACGGTGAGGAGGCACACAGGGGCGGAGTGAGGAGCAGAGTGAGCAGCAGAGTGGGGAGAGGATAGGATAAGAAGGAAAGTGCAAGGAGGGCATGCTGCCGTGCAGCCCGTTGCGCTGGATGGAGCTGATGCGACACGGTGAGGAGGCACACAGGGGCGGAGTGAGGAGCAGAGTGAGCAGCAGAGTGGGGAGAGGATAGGATAAGAAGGAAAGTGCAAGGAGGGCATGCTGCCGTGCAGCCCGTTGCGCTGGATGGAGCTGATGAGACACGGTGAGGAGGCACACAGGGGCGGAGTGAGGAGCAGAGTGAGCAGCAGAGTGGGGAGAGGATAGGATAAGAAGGAAAGTGCAAGGAGGGCATGCTGCCGTGCAGCCCGTTGCGCTGGATGGAGCTGATGAGACACGGTGAGGAGGCACACAGGGGCGGAGTGAGGAGCAGAGTGAGCAGCAGAGTGGGGAGAGGATAGGATAAGAAGGAAAGTGCAAGGAGGGCATGCTGCCGTGCAGCCCGTTGCGCTGGATGGAGCTGATGCGACACGGTGAGGAGGCACACAGGGGCGGAGTGAGGAGCAGAGTGAGCAGCAGAGTGGGGAGAGGATAGGATAAGAAGGAAAGTGCAAGGAGGGCATGCTGCCGTGCAGCCCGTTGCGCTGGATGGAGCTGATGAGACACGGTGAGGAGGCACACAGGGGCGGAGTGAGGAGCAGAGTGAGCAGCAGAGTGGGGAGAGGATAGGATAAGAAGGAAAGTGCAAGGAGGGCATGCTGCCGTGCAGCCCGTTGCGCTGGATGGAGCTGATGAGACACGGTGAGGAGGCACACAGGGGCGGAGTGAGGAGCAGAGTGAGCAGCAGAGTGGGGAGAGGATAGGATAAGAAGGAAAGTGCAAGGAGGGCATGCTGCCGTGCAGCCCGTTGCGCTGGATGGAGCTGATGAGACACGGTGAGGAGGCACACAGGGGCGGAGTGAGGAGCAGAGTGAGCAGCAGAGTGGGGAGAGGATAGGATAAGAAGGAAAGTGCAAGGAGGGCATGCTGCCGTGCAGCCCGTTGCGCTGGATGGAGCTGATGAGACACGGTGAGGAGGCACACAGGGGCGGAGTGAGGAGCAGAGTGAGCAGCAGAGTGGGGAGAGGATAGGATAAGAAGGAAAGTGCAAGGAGGGCATGCTGCCGTGCAGCCCGTTGCGCTGGATGGAGCTGATGAGACACGGCGAGGAGGCACACAGGGGCGGAGTGAGGAGCAGAGTGAGCAGCAGAGTGGGGAGAGGATAGGATAAGAAGGAAAGTGCAAGGAGGGCATGCTGCCGTGCAGCCCGTTGCGCTGGATGGAGCTGATGAGACACGGTGAGGAGGCACACAGGGGCGGAGTGAGGAGCAGAGTGAGCAGCAGAGTGGGGAGAGGATAGGATAAGAAGGAAAGTGCAAGGAGGGCATGCTGCCGTGCAGCCCGTTGCGCTGGATGGAGCTGATGAGACACGGTGAGGAGGCACACAGGGGCGGAGTGAGGAGCAGAGTGAGCAGCAGAGTGGGGAGAGGATAGGATAAGAAGGAAAGTGCAAGGAGGGCATGCTGCCGTGCAGCCCGTTGCGCTGGATGGAGCTGATGAGACACGGCGAGGAGGCACACAGGGGCGGAGTGAGGAGCAGAGTGAGCAGCAGAGTGGGGAGAGGATAGGATAAGAAGGAAAGTGCAAGGAGGGCATGCTGCCGTGCAGCCCGTTGCGCTGGATGGAGCTGATGAGACACGGTGAGGAGGCACACAGGGGCGGAGTGAGGAGCAGAGTGAGCAGCAGAGTGGGGAGAGGATAGGATAAGAAGGAAAGTGCAAGGAGGGCATGCTGCCGTGCAGCCCGTTGCGCTGGATGGAGCTGATGAGACACGGTGAGGAGGCACACAGGGGCGGAGTGAGGAGCAGAGTGAGCAGCAGAGTGGGGAGAGGATAGGATAAGAAGGAAAGTGCAAGGAGGGCATGCTGCCGTGCAGCCCGTTGCGCTGGATGGAGCTGATGCGACACGGTGAGGAGGCACACAGGGGCGGAGTGAGGAGCAGAGTGAGCAGCAGAGTGGGGAGAGGATAGGATAAGAAGGAAAGTGCAAGGAGGGCATGCTGCCGTGCAGCCCGTTGCGCTGGATGGAGCTGATGCGACACGGTGAGGAGGCACACAGGGGCGGAGTGAGGAGCAGAGTGAGCAGCAGAGTGGGGAGAGGATAGGATAAGAAGGAAAGTGCAAGGAGGGCATGCTGCCGTGCAGCCCGTTGCGCTGGATGGAGCTGATGAGACACGGTGAGGAGGCACACAGGGGCGGAGTGAGGAGCAGAGTGAGCAGCAGAGTGGGGAGAGGATAGGATAAGAAGGAAAGTGCAAGGAGGGCATGCTGCCGTGCAGCCCGTTGCGCTGGATGGAGCTGATGAGACACGGTGAGGAGGCACACAGGGGCGGAGTGAGGAGCAGAGTGAGCAGCAGAGTGGGGAGAGGATAGGATAAGAAGGAAAGTGCAAGGAGGGCATGCTGCCGTGCAGCCCGTTGCGCTGGATGGAGCTGATGAGACACGGTGAGGAGGCACACAGGGGCGGAGTGAGGAGCAGAGTGAGCAGCAGAGTGGGGAGAGGATAGGATAAGAAGGAAAGTGCAAGGAGGGCATGCTGCCGTGCAGCCCGTTGCGCTGGATGGAGCTGATGAGACACGGTGAGGAGGCACACAGGGGCGGAGTGAGGAGCAGAGTGAGCAGCAGAGTGGGGAGAGGATAGGATAAGAAGGAAAGTGCAAGGAGGGCATGCTGCCGTGCAGCCCGTTGCGCTGGATGGAGCTGATGAGACACGGTGAGGAGGCACACAGGGGCGGAGTGAGGAGCAGAGTGAGCAGCAGAGTGGGGAGAGGATAGGATAAGAAGGAAAGTGCAAGGAGGGCATGCTGCCGTGCAGCCCGTTGCGCTGGATGGAGCTGATGAGACACGGTGAGGAGGCACACAGGGGCGGAGTGAGGAGCAGAGTGAGCAGCAGAGTGGGGAGAGGATAGGATAAGAAGGAAAGTGCAAGGAGGGCATGCTGCCGTGCAGCCCGTTGCGCTGGATGGAGCTGATGAGACACGGTGAGGAGGCACACAGGGGCGGAGTGAGGAGCAGAGTGAGCAGCAGAGTGGGGAGAGGATAGGATAAGAAGGAAAGTGCAAGGAGGGCATGCTGCCGTGCAGCCCGTTGCGCTGGATGGAGCTGATGAGACACGGTGAGGAGGCACACAGGGGCGGAGTGAGGAGCAGAGTGAGCAGCAGAGTGGGGAGAGGATAGGATAAGAAGGAAAGTGCAAGGAGGGCATGCTGCCGTGCAGCCCGTTGCGCTGGATGGAGCTGATGCGACACGGTGAGGAGGCACACAGGGGCGGAGTGAGGAGCAGAGTGAGCAGCAGAGTGGGGAGAGGATAGGATAAGAAGGAAAGTGCAAGGAGGGCATGCTGCCGTGCAGCCCGTTGCGCTGGATGGAGCTGATGCGACACGGTGAGGAGGCACACAGGGGCGGAGTGAGGAGCAGAGTGAGCAGCAGAGTGGGGAGAGGATAGGATAAGAAGGAAAGTGCAAGGAGGGCATGCTGCCGTGCAGCCCGTTGCGCTGGATGGAGCTGATGAGACACGGTGAGGAGGCACACAGGGGCGGAGTGAGGAGCAGAGTGAGCAGCAGAGTGGGGAGAGGATAGGATAAGAAGGAAAGTGCAAGGAGGGCATGCTGCCGTGCAGCCCGTTGCGCTGGATGGAGCTGATGAGACACGGTGAGGAGGCACACAGGGGCGGAGTGAGGAGCAGAGTGAGCAGCAGAGTGGGGAGAGGATAGGATAAGAAGGAAAGTGCAAGGAGGGCATGCTGCCGTGCAGCCCGTTGCGCTGGATGGAGCTGATGCGACACGGTGAGGAGGCACACAGGGGCGGAGTGAGGAGCAGAGTGAGCAGCAGAGTGGGGAGAGGATAGGATAAGAAGGAAAGTGCAAGGAGGGCATGCTGCCGTGCAGCCCGTTGCGCTGGATGGAGCTGATGAGACACGGTGAGGAGGCACACAGGGGCGGAGTGAGGAGCAGAGTGAGCAGCAGAGTGGGGAGAGGATAGGATAAGAAGGAAAGTGCAAGGAGGGCATGCTGCCGTGCAGCCCGTTGCGCTGGATGGAGCTGATGAGACACGGTGAGGAGGCACACAGGGGCGGAGTGAGGAGCAGAGTGAGCAGCAGAGTGGGGAGAGGATAGGATAAGAAGGAAAGTGCAAGGAGGGCATGCTGCCGTGCAGCCCGTTGCGCTGGATGGAGCTGATGAGACACGGTGAGGAGGCACACAGGGGCGGAGTGAGGAGCAGAGTGAGCAGCAGAGTGGGGAGAGGATAGGATAAGAAGGAAAGTGCAAGGAGGGCATGCTGCCGTGCAGCCCGTTGCGCTGGATGGAGCTGATGAGACACGGTGAGGAGGCACACAGGGGCGGAGTGAGGAGCAGAGTGAGCAGCAGAGTGGGGAGAGGATAGGATAAGAAGGAAAGTGCAAGGAGGGCATGCTGCCGTGCAGCCCGTTGCGCTGGATGGAGCTGATGAGACACGGCGAGGAGGCACACAGGGGCGGAGTGAGGAGCAGAGTGAGCAGCAGAGTGGGGAGAGGATAGGATAAGAAGGAAAGTGCAAGGAGGGCATGCTGCCGTGCAGCCCGTTGCGCTGGATGGAGCTGATGAGACACGGCGAGGAGGCACACAGGGGCGGAGTGAGGAGCAGAGTGAGCAGCAGAGTGGGGAGAGGATAGGATAAGAAGGAAAGTGCAAGGAGGGCATGCTGCCGTGCAGCCCGTTGCGCTGGATGGAGCTGATGAGACACGGTGAGGAGGCACACAGGGGCGGAGTGAGGAGCAGAGTGAGCAGCAGAGTGGGGAGAGGATAGGATAAGAAGGAAAGTGCAAGGAGGGCATGCTGCCGTGCAGCCCGTTGCGCTGGATGGAGCTGATGAGACACGGCGAGGAGGCACACAGGGGCGGAGTGAGGAGCAGAGTGAGCAGCAGAGTGGGGAGAGGATAGTATAAGAAGGAAAGTGCAAGGAGGGCATGCTGCCGTGCAGCCCGTTGCGCTGGATGGAGCTGATGCGACACGGTGAGGAGGCACACAGGGGCGGAGTGAGGAGCAGAGTGAGCAGCAGAGTGGGGAGAGGATAGGATAAGAAGGAAAGTGCAAGGAGGGCATGCTGCCGTGCAGCCCGTTGCGCTGGATGGAGCTGATGAGACACGGTGAGGAGGCACACAGGGGCGGAGTGAGGAGCAGAGTGAGCAGCAGAGTGGGGAGAGGATAGGATAAGAAGGAAAGTGCAAGGAGGGCATGCTGCCGTGCAGCCCGTTGCGCTGGATGGAGCTGATGAGACACGGTGAGGAGGCACACAGGGGCGGAGTGAGGAGCAGAGTGAGCAGCAGAGTGGGGAGAGGATAGGATAAGAAGGAAAGTGCAAGGAGGGCATGCTGCCGTGCAGCCCGTTGCGCTGGATGGAGCTGATGAGACACGGTGAGGAGGCACACAGGGGCGGAGTGAGGAGCAGAGTGAGCAGCAGAGTGGGGAGAGGATAGGATAAGAAGGAAAGTGCAAGGAGGGCATGCTGCCGTGCAGCCCGTTGCGCTGGATGGAGCTGATGAGACACGGTGAGGAGGCACACAGGGGCGGAGTGAGGAGCAGAGTGAGCAGCAGAGTGGGGAGAGGATAGGATAAGAAGGAAAGTGCAAGGAGGGCATGCTGCCGTGCAGCCCGTTGCGCTGGATGGAGCTGATGAGACACGGTGAGGAGGCACACAGGGGCGGAGTGAGGAGCAGAGTGAGCAGCAGAGTGGGGAGAGGATAGGATAAGAAGGAAAGTGCAAGGAGGGCATGCTGCCGTGCAGCCCGTTGCGCTGGATGGAGCTGATGAGACACGGTGAGGAGGCACACAGGGGCGGAGTGAGGAGCAGAGTGAGCAGCAGAGTGGGGAGAGGATAGGATAAGAAGGAAAGTGCAAGGAGGGCATGCTGCCGTGCAGCCCGTTGCGCTGGATGGAGCTGATGAGACACGGTGAGGAGGCACACAGGGGCGGAGTGAGGAGCAGAGTGAGCAGCAGAGTGGGGAGAGGATAGGATAAGAAGGAAAGTGCAAGGAGGGCATGCTGCCGTGCAGCCCGTTGCGCTGGATGGAGCTGATGAGACACGGTGAGGAGGCACACAGGGGCGGAGTGAGGAGCAGAGTGAGCAGCAGAGTGGGGAGAGGATAGGATAAGAAGGAAAGTGCGAGGAGGGCATGCTGCCGTGCAGCCCGTTGCGCTGGATGGAGCTGATGAGACACGGTGAGGAGGCACACAGGGGCGGAGTGAGGAGCAGAGTGAGCAGCAGAGTGGGGAGAGGATAGGATAAGAAGGAAAGTGCAAGGAGGGCATGCTGCCGTGCAGCCCGTTGCGCTGGATGGAGCTGATGAGACACGGTGAGGAGGCACACAGGGGCGGAGTGAGGAGCAGAGTGAGCAGCAGAGTGGGGAGAGGATAGGATAAGAAGGAAAGTGCAAGGAGGGCATGCTGCCGTGCAGCCCGTTGCGCTGGATGGAGCTGATGAGACACGGTGAGGAGGCACACAGGGGCGGAGTGAGGAGCAGAGTGAGCAGCAGAGTGGGGAGAGGATAGGATAAGAAGGAAAGTGCAAGGAGGGCATGCTGCCGTGCAGCCCGTTGCGCTGGATGGAGCTGATGAGACACGGTGAGGAGGCACACAGGGGCGGAGTGAGGAGCAGAGTGAGCAGCAGAGTGGGGAGAGGATAGGATAAGAAGGAAAGTGCAAGGAGGGCATGCTGCCGTGCAGCCCGTTGCGCTGGATGGAGCTGATGAGACACGGTGAGGAGGCACACAGGGGCGGAGTGAGGAGCAGAGTGAGCAGCAGAGTGGGGAGAGGATACGATAAGAAGGAAAGTGCAAGGAGGGCATGCTGCCGTGCAGCCCGTTGCGCTGGATGGAGCTGATGAGACACGGTGAGGAGGCACACAGGGGCGGAGTGAGGAGCAGAGTGAGCAGCAGAGTGGGGAGAGGATAGGATAAGAAGGAAAGTGCAAGGAGGGCATGCTGCCGTGCAGCCCGTTGCGCTGGATGGAGCTGATGAGACACGGTGAGGAGGCACACAGGGGCGGAGTGAGGAGCAGAGTGAGCAGCAGAGTGGGGAGAGGATAGGATAAGAAGGAAAGTGCAAGGAGGGCATGCTGCCGTGCAGCCCGTTGCGCTGGATGGAGCTGATGAGACACGGTGAGGAGGCACACAGGGGCGGAGTGAGGAGCAGAGTGAGCAGCAGAGTGGGGAGAGGATAGGATAAGAAGGAAAGTGCAAGGAGGGCATGCTGCCGTGCAGCCCGTTGCGCTGGATGGAGCTGATGAGACACGGTGAGGAGGCACACAGGGGCGGAGTGAGGAGCAGAGTGAGCAGCAGAGTGGGGAGAGGATAGGATAAGAAGGAAAGTGCAAGGAGGGCATGCTGCCGTGCAGCCCGTTGCGCTGGATGGAGCTGATGAGACACGGTGAGGAGGCACACAGGGGCGGAGTGAGGAGCAGAGTGAGCAGCAGAGTGGGGAGAGGATAGGATAAGAAGGAAAGTGCAAGGAGGGCATGCTGCCGTGCAGCCCGTTGCGCTGGATGGAGCTGATGAGACACGGTGAGGAGGCACACAGGGGCGGAGTGAGGAGCAGAGTGAGCAGCAGAGTGGGGAGAGGATAGGATAAGAAGGAAAGTGCAAGGAGGGCATGCTGCCGTGCAGCCCGTTGCGCTGGATGGAGCTGATGAGACACGGTGAGGAGGCACACAGGGGCGGAGTGAGGAGCAGAGTGAGCAGCAGAGTGGGGAGAGGATAGGATAAGAAGGAAAGTGCAAGGAGGGCATGCTGCCGTGCAGCCCGTTGCGCTGGATGGAGCTGATGCGACACGGTGAGGAGGCACACAGGGGCGGAGTGAGGAGCAGAGTGAGCAGCAGAGTGGGGAGAGGATAGGATAAGAAGGAAAGTGCAAGGAGGGCATGCTGCCGTGCAGCCCGTTGCGCTGGATGGAGCTGATGAGACACGGTGAGGAGGCACACAGGGGCGGAGTGAGGAGCAGAGTGAGCAGCAGAGTGGGGAGAGGATAGGATAAGAAGGAAAGTGCAAGGAGGGCATGCTGCCGTGCAGCCCGTTGCGCTGGATGGAGCTGATGAGACACGGTGAGGAGGCACACAGGGGCGGAGTGAGGAGCAGAGTGAGCAGCAGAGTGGGGAGAGGATAGGATAAGAAGGAAAGTGCAAGGAGGGCATGCTGCCGTGCAGCCCGTTGCGCTGGATGGAGCTGATGAGACACGGTGAGGAGGCACACAGGGGCGGAGTGAGGAGCAGAGTGAGCAGCAGAGTGGGGAGAGGATAGGATAAGAAGGAAAGTGCAAGGAGGGCATGCTGCCGTGCAGCCCGTTGCGCTGGATGGAGCTGATGAGACACGGCGAGGAGGCACACAGGGGCGGAGTGAGGAGCAGAGTGAGCAGCAGAGTGGGGAGAGGATAGGATAAGAAGGAAAGTGCAAGGAGGGCATGCTGCCGTGCAGCCCGTTGCGCTGGATGGAGCTGATGAGACACGGTGAGGAGGCACACAGGGGCGGAGTGAGGAGCAGAGTGAGCAGCAGAGTGGGGAGAGGATAGGATAAGAAGGAAAGTGCAAGGAGGGCATGCTGCCGTGCAGCCCGTTGCGCTGGATGGAGCTGATGAGACACGGCGAGGAGGCACACAGGGGCGGAGTGAGGAGCAGAGTGAGCAGCAGAGTGGGGAGAGGATAGGATAAGAAGGAAAGTGCAAGGAGGGCATGCTGCCGTGCAGCCCGTTGCGCTGGATGGAGCTGATGAGACACGGTGAGGAGGCACACAGGGGCGGAGTGAGGAGCAGAGTGAGCAGCAGAGTGGGGAGAGGATAGGATAAGAAGGAAAGTGCAAGGAGGGCATGCTGCCGTGCAGCCCGTTGCGCTGGATGGAGCTGATGAGACACGGCGAGGAGGCACACAGGGGCGGAGTGAGGAGCAGAGTGAGCAGCAGAGTGGGGAGAGGATAGGATAAGAAGGAAAGTGCAAGGAGGGCATGCTGCCGTGCAGCCCGTTGCGCTGGATGGAGCTGATGAGACACGGTGAGGAGGCACACAGGGGCGGAGTGAGGAGCAGAGTGAGCAGCAGAGTGGGGAGAGGATAGGATAAGAAGGAAAGTGCAAGGAGGGCATGCTGCCGTGCAGCCCGTTGCGCTGGATGGAGCTGATGAGACACGGTGAGGAGGCACACAGGGGCGGAGTGAGGAGCAGAGTGAGCAGCAGAGTGGGGAGAGGATAGGATAAGAAGGAAAGTGCAAGGAGGGCATGCTGCCGTGCAGCCCGTTGCGCTGGATGGAGCTGATGAGACACGGTGAGGAGGCACACAGGGGCGGAGTGAGGAGCAGAGTGAGCAGCAGAGTGGGGAGAGGATAGGATAAGAAGGAAAGTGCAAGGAGGGCATGCTGCCGTGCAGCCCGTTGCGCTGGATGGAGCTGATGAGACACGGTGAGGAGGCACACAGGGGCGGAGTGAGGAGCAGAGTGAGCAGCAGAGTGGGGAGAGGATAGGATAAGAAGGAAAGTGCAAGGAGGGCATGCTGCCGTGCAGCCCGTTGCGCTGGATGGAGCTGATGAGACACGGTGAGGAGGCACACAGGGGCGGAGTGAGGAGCAGAGTGAGCAGCAGAGTGGGGAGAGGATAGGATAAGAAGGAAAGTGCAAGGAGGGCATGCTGCCGTGCAGCCCGTTGCGCTGGATGGAGCTGATGAGACACGGTGAGGAGGCACACAGGGGCGGAGTGAGGAGCAGAGTGAGCAGCAGAGTGGGGAGAGGATAGGATAAGAAGGAAAGTGCAAGGAGGGCATGCTGCCGTGCAGCCCGTTGCACTGGATGGAGCTGATGAGACACGGTGAGGAGGCACACAGGGGCGGAGTGAGGAGCAGAGTGAGCAGCAGAGTGGGGAGAGGATAGGATAAGAAGGAAAGTGCAAGGAGGGCATGCTGCCGTGCAGCCCGTTGCGCTGGATGGAGCTGATGAGACACGGTGAGGAGGCACACAGGGGCGGAGTGAGGAGCAGAGTGAGCAGCAGAGTGGGGAGAGGATAGGATAAGAAGGAAAGTGCAAGGAGGACATGTTGCCATGCAGCCCGTTGCGCTGGATGGAGCTGATGAGACACAGCGAGGCACAGCGAGGCACAGCGGGGAGGCAGAGCAAGGAGCAAGGGAAGGAGAATTTTTACGAGGAGCCTCAAATCTTGTTCCCGTGCAGCCCGTTGCACTGGAAGGAGCTGATGAGACACTGTGGGAAACAGTCAGTTACTGTAGTACGTATGTGCCTTCGGTCACAGGTGGGTGGGGCACAGAAATCTTGGGCACAGAACAGCCGTGCAGCAGAGGAGGAATCAAGAAGCGGGGAAACAAAAGACATTGTTATTAATCAATAATAAGAGCTACTATCATGCATCAACTTTGGGAGTCATGGTCATGTATCAGGTATGGGGAGGTCCTACATTGAAGCACGATTGTCCCACACTGGCCGCAGTGCAAGTACACATGGCAACACAGACTTGAGAGCAAGCAAGCAAGCAAGCACATGTCTTGTGAGGTGAGGGTCACGTCACACGACGGGCACCGCAAAGGTTCTCGATTCTGTGGGGAAGGATTGACAGTCAAATTTCCGAAGAGAAGAAGATTCAATGTGTATTAAGATAAGTGCAAGGTGCAGCAGCGGAGCACTGTGTGCAGCGGAGGTGCACTGTGTGCAGCGGAGGAGCACTGTGTGCAGCGGAGGAGCACTGTGTGCAGCGGAGGAGCACTGTGTGCAGCGGAGGAGCACTGTCTGCAGCGGAGGAGCACTGTGTGCAGTGGAGGGCCGGGCATGCCAGGGAAGCAAAGGCACAGGGTGGGTGGGTGGGTGCAGGCAGCTTCTGGGCACAGTGAACGTTATGAGGTATGGGTAGTGGAGAGGGAGTGAGAGAAATGAGGGTGAGGAAGGACTTACAGGAAGGAGAGTGTGGTTAGGGAGGAGAAGGAGAGAGGGATGGATCCAGTGATGCTGTTGTTGTCAACTCGCCTGCCATGGGAATGCCGTGACGTGCCACACAAAACCATGTGATGCCATCACATGCGGGGCCATGCCATGCCTCACCATGACACACACAACACCATGCCATGCCATGCCGTACCATCACCCCATGCCATGCCATGCCACGGCAGCCACACCATGCAATGCCATCCCATCCTATGCCATACCGTGCTTTGCAATATCATCCCATGTCATACCATGCCGTGCCATGCCATGCCATGCCATGTCATATGTTGTGCCACTCCATGCCATGCAATACAACTACATGAAAATGAAGCGAAGGCAACCTACATGTAGCATTGTGTAAAAAGTAGGAAAGAGCTAAACTACTAGTAAGTCTCAAATTGCGTTAGACTTAAGAAAGCCCAGCATTAGGTAAGAAAACATGAATTAGGTAAGATTTCAGTAAAGTAAGTCCTTTGCTGGGTAAGAATTCACTTTCTTAGGTAAGACTCAAAGGAACGACGGTGGCCTACAGCCTACAGGAGAGGAGAATATACAAGGTAGTTTGATTTGAGGTAAGCAAAGCAAGTGAAGGAGGCGTACATGGAGCGAGGGAAGCCTCATTTATTTTTGTGGCCGTCTCAACGAGAGGAATCAAACAAGGTGAGGCAAGTAAGGAGAGTGAAGGAGTCTACATGGCGCCAAAACTCTTCAGAGTTTCAGTCGACTCAAAGGAAGGACTTGAACAAATGTAGGTAAATCAGGAGAGTGATGAAGGGCACATGTAGATGGAGTGGAGCAGAGAAGCCTCAGAAATTAGAGTAAAATAGAAAGGAATCAAATAAGTTAGGTAGGTAGTAGGTACGGCGGGGAGTGAAGGAGGCTCACATGGAGCGAAATTCCGAAGCGCATAAAAAATAGAGAAAGGAGGTGTGTGTGTACATGGAGTGGAGAAGCCCGAGTCAAATTAAAGAAAGGAACTATGCAAGGAAAGGTGGGTGAGGCAAGGAGAGTGAAGGAGGGAGGCGAACATGGAGCGAAGAAGCTTAAGATTGCCCATTGTGGATGGCAGTGAGCCTGAGATGCTGTTGTGTGAGAGGTCACTGCGATGGGGCAGTAGACAAGGGAGAGAGGGAGGAGAGGTCCGTTTGAGAGGTTATGTCCGTTTTTTTAGTCGACTCAAAACACAACTCATGAAAGAGAGGCAGGAGAGGGCCGATTGAGAGGTTACGTTCGTTTGGGATGGCGAGAGGAGGGTGAGTAGTAGTATTGAAGGAACTGCGAGAAAAGGAACGTGGTTCTTACAGGCCTTGCAGGCTAGAGAGCCGCCCCATGGCTTCGGGTGGTTTTGAGACATCTCAACAGCCGCCCATGGCTTGGGTTGGTCTCTGTTGAGTCCTTGCAACTCACATCTCACAGGCCTTGCGTTTTGAGACGTCGCAGAGCTCAAAAATAGAAACTCACAGGCCTTGCAAGTTAGAGAGCCCCCCCATGGCTTGGGGCAGACTGCCTGTGAGGCGGTTGACCTGCATGCTCCTGCAATGGGTGGTGAGTGGTGAGAAGGGAGTGGTGAGTGGTGAGTGGTGAGAGGTGAAGAAGAGTGATGAAGAGTGATGAGTGAGTGGTGAGTAACAGAGCAGTGCAGCATAAAAACTGGTCTGAAGAAGGCTGAACGCATGTAAGGTCATGACAGAAAAGTAAGGTTCATACGTGGCAGCTTAGTGATGTTTATACGTGTAAGGTCATGACAAATAAGACACACCACCACAACGCATGCACACACACGTCAACGCATGCAGACAGGCATCATAGATGCAGACTCACAGAAATACAGATGCAGACTCATCAGTGCACGCACTGGCAAGGCAAGACAGCACAGCACACCACAATGCATACAGACACACCACGACCATGCAGACACACCCCTCAACGCATGAGGCACAGCACAATGCATGAGGCACAGCACAATGCATGAGGCACAGCACAATGCATGAGGCACGGCACAATGCATGAGGCACAGCACAATGCGTGAGGCACAGCACAATGCATGAGGCACAGCACAATGCATGAGGCACAGCACAATGCATGAGGCACGGCACAATGCATGAGGCACAGGCTCACAGGAAGAAGAGGTTTTGGAGTTTGGAGACGGAGGATGGCAGAGAACCAGTGATGGTGTTGTTGTCTAGCCAGCTGGGTAAAGAAACGAGGGTAGAAAAGAAATAATGAGGAACGGGAAACGGGGCAGGCAGGAGATAGGTATGTCTAGTCTAAATGTGGAGGATGACAGGGAACCAGTGATGGTGTTGTTGTCCAGCCAGCTAGGGATGGCAATGGGGGAAATGGCGGTTGGGAAAGAAAGAGGAACAGGACAAGGGGCAGGCAATAGGGATGTCCAGTCCTAGTGTGGTGGATGGTGGGGAACTGGTGATAATGTTGTTGTCTAGCCAGTGGGGAACGGCATCGGGGGCCGGGGGATTGAGGTTAGGAAAGAAAGAAGAACAGGAAAAAGGGCAGGCAATAGGGACGTCCAGTCCTAGTGTGGTGGATGGTGGGGAACCGGGGAACATGTTGTTGTCTAGCCAGTTGGGAACGGCATCGGGGGGCAGGGGATTGAGGTTAGGAAAGAAAAGAGGGCAGGAGCGGTGGAAAGAGGAAGAGAAAAAGAGTAGAAATGAAGAAAGGAAGAAGGTAGGAAAGGAGGAAAGGAGGAAGGGAAGAGGGAAAGAAAGGAATAGGTAGAAGGAAGGAGGGAGATAACGATTGGGAGTACAGCTCACAGCAGGCATTCACAGCAGCAGCTCACACCCCACAGGTGTTCACACCAGCATCCACACCAGTAGACATGAGCAAAGTTTCAAACCTAGACTCGGTTCGGTTCGAACATGTTCGGTTTGCCAAATTAAACTGTTCGGGCGAACACGTTTGGTGTTCGCCCGTTGCTCATGTCTACACACCAGTAGCAGCACCAGCAATTCACATTCACAACACCATCCATTCACCGCCACGGTCATCGTCGTCATCATCATCATCATCATCATCATCATCATCATCCTCATCATCGTCGTCGTCGTCGTCGTCGTCGTCGTCGTCGTCGTCGTCGTCGTCGTCGTCCTCCTCCTCCTCCTCCTCCTCCTCCTCCTCCTCCTCCTCCTCCTCCTCCTCCTCCTCCTCCTCCTCCTCCTCCTCCTCCTCCTCCTCCTCCTCCTCCTCCTCATCCTCTTCCTCCTCCTCCTCCTCCTCCTCCTCCTCCTCCTCCTCCTCCTCCTCCTCCTCCTCCTCCTCCTCCTCCTCCTCCTCCTCCTCCTCCTCCTCCCTCTCCCCCCCTCCTCCTCCTCCTCCTCCTCCTCCTCCTCCTCCTCCTCCTCCTCCTCCTCCTCCTCCTCCTCCTCCTCCTCCTCCCTCTCCTCCTCATCCCCTTCCCCCCTCTCCCCCTTCCCCCCTCTCCCCCTCCCCTGCCCCCTCTGTCTTTCACCACCCCATCTCGTTTCCCTATTCCGGTATTCCCCACGGTAATCCCATCTCGTTTCCCAATGTCAGTATTCCCCAGGGAGCGCGTTGAGTGATTCTGAGCCGTCCAAGCTGTGCCAATCATAACCCGATCTCGTGTCCACATTCCGGTATTCCCCAGGGAGGGAGCGCCAGGCATTGTATGCAGGCAAAGCGGCATCAGCGAGGACAGGCAAAGCGCAACCCATTGCCATCTCGTCTACTTTTGAGGCGCCTCAAAAGTAGGAGCATTCCGGTATTCCCCTCCCCAGGGAGCGCCTGGAGCGTGATTCTGAGGCAGCGGCAGGCCTTGTAAGGCTTGTATGGCGCATCAGCGAGGGCAGGCAAAGCAAACCCCTTGCATCTCGCTTTCGCCGATAAGCATTTTTCCGCCCTCCATCCACTAATCCCCCAACAAACATCCATCCCTGCTGCTATCTCGTTCCCCCATTCCGGTATTCCCCAGGGACCGCGTTGAGCGTAATTCTGAGCCACTCCGGGCCTGCCACGTCAGGAGGGGAGGGCGGCAGCGCGGCTGGCAATGGGACGAGCGGGGCCGGCGGCGGGCAGGGGGGGCAGGGTGGAGTCGTCGAGGTGGGGGAAGATTGCGACCTAATAAGGGAGATAAAGTGCGACCCGCAGGGATACGTGACATCACTGTACGTATGAAAAGTATTTTTGTTTGACTTTTGTACATTTTATTTATGCTTGGCTTGAAGATGCATGGCCTGGTGTGTTCAGGTTCGAGTCGACTTGAAACACTGCCACTAGTGTTTCTGTTCTGTTTGTTTTATGGGAGTTGTTTTCAACATAGCAAGGCAACCTCGCGGCAGGCGAAAGCCCTCGTACTCTCCAAAAGGCTCTCTTTGTCATCAGAATTGTTCTTGCATGTGCCTCTGAATAACCCAACAGCGATAAGTGAAGTGAATCAACAAAGCATGCGTACCAGGAATCAACCAGCCCGCCCCTCACACGCGCCCGCGCTCTCTCACCAGTCATTCACGCTTCTCCTGCTCCATACCCTTCTTGACTTTTGAGTTTGAGTCAACCCATGCATGCGTGCGTCTCACATCCTTCTCACCACTTCCATTGACACTTCTCCTCTTCCTGCCTGCTCTCTTTCTCCTCCCTCCATCTGCTTCGGCTCCTCTCTGGTTGTACGGGGCGGGGAGAAGGGGGGGATTGGGTGGGGGAAAGGAGTGGGGGAAAGAGGGAGGAAGGGGGGAGGGGATGTGGGGGGTATCGGCGATGTGGATGGTAGAGTCGGAGTAATGAGCGCAAAGGTATTCCAAAGGTGCAGCATCGCTGAGGCGCTTCCGCGAGGCCGAGGCGCGTGTGGAAAACGACAAGGGTGGGCGGGGCGGCGCGGCGCGTGGGTGGAAAGGCGAGAGCGACTCACTCTGCGACTCGCGAATGGGTATAGCGTCGCTCGACCGCATCGCGGCGAACGCTGCGAACAGGAATGCAGCTGCGACGACGGCGACAGTCGGCTGCTTGGGTCGCACGTGGTGGTAACTGGCGAACCAGCCTTGATGTCGCGACGCGTCGTGACGTCGCAGTGTTTCGCGGCGGCGCCGCCACAGTCCCATTCGAATTCGCATTCGCCAATGAACACCGCCAGGCGAATCGCACATAATGTCTACAAACTCGTTTATGTCTTACAACACTTCTACTAACACTGGTACGTGCGGGGTCGCCAATAGTTGCGAGATCATCATCATGATTGGCCAGCGTTGCGCCGCGCGGATGCTAGGCAGTCTCCAGACGCATTGCCTTTCCATTCCGACCTGTTTAATCGTCTACTAGTAGTGTGTGGTATGGGAAGCGCTTCGGGATCCGTTGAGATGCCGCGAGTAGTCATTTGTAACAACTTTGTTCAAGCCGTTGGCGTGAGTGCAAAAAATCGCCCCAAGGTAAGAGGCGTCGCGTCGCCTCGTGTGTACAGTATAAGGCCACGACGTGGCAGTATTAGTGACTGTGGTTTGAACCCACAGTCACTAGGTTGCAAGTTCGCTGCACTGCACGTGAAAGGAGACTGTACATGGGCGACAAATCCACCAGTCTCCACTCGAGTATAGACACTAGTAGACTCGAGTCGAGGCCTACGGTAAGAGGACAATCACCCTGTCCTGACTGACAAAGGAAAGAAGTTCTTCGGAGGAGCCCTGATTTTGAAAAGGCGATTAATGCCAGCCGGGATTAATTTGGGTTGTTCTGTTAGCGATCTCGAACCTTGGAATCTTCTCGAACTTTGATTAAATTGGGTTGTTTTGGTAGCGACAGCCCTGGTTGGTACGCACAAAAAGAACAGAGAATGGAGGGGGCCGTAGTAAATAGCTTGGTCCTCGTTTAGCGCGGTTCAAGACGATTTATCACGGTTCAAAACGATTCTCATTCCCGGGCAACCACAAAGATTGCACATAGCAGTTAGCAGGGTAGTGCGACTCGTGAGCTGTATCCTGCTCCCGACTCTTTTCCGCGTGCAATAGCTTCTCCCATCAAACATCCAGCCAGATAAGTACGAGACCAGAAGGAAGGTGGCGAAAGTCAATGGCGGATCGAATACTCAATACAGACAGGCCTTACTGTTTTCTCGATAACACAATCATGCTGTCAAATCCGGAAGAGTTCTCGGGCGGCTCCTCAAGTAGGTATTGCGTTAAAATACACACCGTACTCTCAAATTAGTCCGTGTTTCCGTCACCTTATAGGTTCTCGTGCTTCTGTGCGTTCAACGCGCCCTGGCTCGAGGCGTGCGAAACACGCCGCAGAGAAAGAGCAAACGGATGCTTGGTGGCTACTAGACTGGGGTCGAACCGCCTAATTCCAGACTGCTCGAACTACCATGCTGACTTGTTGAACGGGACGGCAAATTCCACATCACAGCACTTCCCAACTACCGTCCGACGCGCGTCCTACCATGCTCAGAGGCGGCCGCATTGGCGGGAACGAAACCCAATTATGCCGCGTCGGCGACCCCGCGGCACCGCGCCGCGTCTTGTGAGATGCGTCAAAGGGCCTCCTGGAGATGGCTTAGCGCGCAATACCCGTTGTCGAAAGCGTGCCGGCGCATTTCCGCGTGTCAGTTCGGTTGCACGAATGGCTGTCAGGCCCATGATACGAGTATTAGTACTTCCACGAGTAGAATTTCCGATAGTAGAAATCGGTAGATTTGCGCTATCGCGATCCGACACCGGGTTGTTTTCGGAGGCGAGTGCGACTGCGAATGCGACGGCGGCGGCTGCGTCGCGACACACTACTGCGATGTCACGACGCGTAGCGACATCATCAAGGCCGGCAGCTCGCCAGTTTCGACGTGCGACTCGAGCAGCCGTCGTCGCCATCGTCGCAGCGTGCCTGCTCGCAGCGTCTGTGGTGCCGTCGAGCGACGCCATCCCGATTCGCGAGTCGCAGAGTGAGTCACTCTCGCCGTTTGCATCCTATACCCCACCCTCACCCTTCCCACCCCTATCATTCTTCCATACCCCGCCCTCGCATCGCGTCTAGGCCTTGCCGCGGAAACGCCCCCAAGACACTCCACCGTCGCATTACATTGAAACTGCCGTGCGGCGCGGCAGGCTTTACGTGGCGCGGCGTCAGGAACGGGGCAAACGCGCGAAGCAACCCCCTTGCCATCTATTCTTGCTGATAAGCATTCCGCCCCATCCCAATCCGCCACCCAGTTTCCCAGTCTCGTTATTCCCTAGGGATCGCTTCGAGCGTGATTCTAAGCCAGCGGCAGGCCGTCCAAGAGACGCGTCAGGGGGACGGGCAAACGCCCAAATTCAACCCTTTTGTCATCCCATTTTTCTCCGATGAGCATTTTTCCGCCCTCCGCCCTAATCCGCTGATGAGCACTTTTACGGCCTCCGCTCTAATCCGCCGACAAACATCCATTCCCGCCACTATATCGTTCCCCCCATTCCGGTATTTCACAGGGGCCGCTTTAAGCGTAATTTTGAGCCAGTCCGTGCCTGCCACGTCAGGGGGAACGGGCTCTAGCGCAGCTGGCAATGGGACTAGCGGAGGCGGCGGGCAGGGAGTCATCGAAGTGGAGGAGGATTGCGACCTTATAATGGAGATAAAGTGTGACCCGCAGGGTTACGTAAAATCACTGTACGTATAAAAGCGTTCGTCCTCTGCATGTTTGTTTCTTGTTTGTTTGATGATTTTTTTTTGTTTCTGTATTGAGTGTAGCCCGGCTTGAAGATCCATAGCCCGCACTGCTAGTGTGTGTTCGAGTCAGGACTGTCAAAACCGTCTCAGCCAGTGTTCCGATCTAAGACTATCTGGGTTAATCTGATTTTTTTTTGGATTGCTTCTACCGCGGCAAAGCAGCCAAGTTCGATGGGATGCACTGCAAAGTTGCAAACCCTGGTCTGTCCGGCCTGATAGGCGTCCCAGTCCCACCCAGCTGCAGTGCAGGTGCTGTGCATCCATTCACGTAGCTGGTAACCAGCCAGCCACACAACAAGGCAAGCTCGCGGCCGGCACAAACTCTTGTGCTCCTCAGAAGAAGCTCGTCTGTCATCAGGGTTCTTTTCTTTTCTACTCATCTCAGAATCCGTGAGCCACCTCAGAGGCTGATCCCGCCTGAGCTCTAAGTACCTCAGCATGCGTGCATCCTCGCTCGCCCGCCCAGGAATCAGCCCTCCCCGCCCTAGCAAGCGTCCGCTCATTCTCACCACTTTCACTGACGCTTCTCCACTCCCTTACCCTTCCCTCATGTTCCGTCTCTCCTCCCTCCGTCTTCTTCGGTTCCTCTTTGGTGCACCGCCCCCCTGCATGCAGCAACCTCGGGTCCATGCTCTCTCTCTCTCAGGAGGTGAATCTAAAGGCGCCTCAAAAGGCTTTCCCCTCCCTCCGTCTGCTGCGGTTTCTGTCTGGCCCGCCCACCTCTCCCCTGCAGAAACCTCGGGTCCATGCTCTGTCTCCCTCAGGAGGTTCTGTCCCTCGTGCGCTTGCAATCACTGTGAGAAAGCCACTCGTTGCACTGCATTCTACAACTCACTGTTCCGTTCCTTCTCTTCCCCCTCTTCTGCGCTCCGTCTACCTGTGCTGTAACCCTCACTGTTCACTTCTCTCGCATTTGGGACACGGTTTCTTTTTTGTGACGCCTTAACATGACATTCCATTACTCACCTTAGGGCGTATCCCTGGGTGGTGGCAGGGCCACTGTAGATGGCAGGCGGGAAATGCGCATGCCACGAATCTGTATATCGCGGGGTTGGTGTCAGAGAATTGTGGAAATGTGAAATTGCTAAATGTGAAATGTGATTGGTTGCGTGGATATGTGAAATTGTGGACCGGTAACATGACCCAGTCAGTTGGTGTTGGTTCCTCAAATCAAGTGGGGGTGTAACCGCCTACGCGACGAGAGAGGTTTCGGGAATGTGCTGTGATTGGTGGCTTCAATTCGGATGGGTTTGTCGCCAAATGTGTTTCGATTGCCACCAACTGCGAATCGCGCGCGACTCGGGCCAAAAGTTGATGACATGCGGGAAACCCGCATGCCATCAACAGTGACAGCTACAGTGGCCCTGCCACCACCCGGGGATACGCCCTTAATCTTCATGGATTCTGCATGGCATGGCTCTTTCTCTGCTATCAGTCACCCAAAAGGCACCTCGAATCTTAACCTCTTTCCACAAGTGGCTTGCTTCTTTCTCTGTCTTACCCACAGCCAACCGCATGCCAGCCAGTTCCACTGATATCTCATTCGCCCATCTGACTTTTGAGTTGTCTCAAAGGTCTCTCTCACATCTCATTCGCCCATCTCACCTCCCTAACCTTTTGAAGCAGCCCAGCTTAGATTCTAACCCCTTTCTTCCCCTTTTCCCCTGCTTCCCTGCTCACAGGAGTCTCTCCTCCCCCACCATTCCACCCATCCGCATGTCAAGCATTCCCTCTGTCATCGGCCAACTCACCTCCCTCACTTCCCTGTACGATCCCTCCTCAACCCAAGTGTGAGAAAACGAGAAAATGAACCATTGATAATATTAGGAAGAGAAGAGGTATACATAGTTGTGCTAGGAGGGAGGGTTTGGTTGGTAACCTAGCCAACATTATTGGCCCCCACCAATAAGTTGGGTTGAGAAATAGTTGGGGGGACCAATAATGTTGACCAAAAGTGGTTCAACATTATTGGAGGGGCCAATAATTCCCAACCCAACCTTGGGGGCCAAATAATTGGGCCAAGTGTTGAGTTCCAACCCCCAACTAGGGTTAGCCCTAGTTCTACACCCAAACTACATTTGGGTGTCTACCTCTAGCCGAGGCTTATAGGATAGATGCAGGTTACAAGTGAGGATGGTATTCTAACACAACCCCTTAACCTGCAGAAATCCAGAAGCTGTGGAAGAGGGAAGGTAACAACCCCTGAATCAGCCACCGCGGGGAGCAAGTCCCTGAAGGCGTAGAAGTGCAGAGTGGTTAGAACGGGGGAGAGCCTTGGTGAAAAGATCTGCAAGGTTGTCGTAGGAGGCGATCTTGCGAACAGTGATGTGACCATCCTGGACAAGGTCACGAACGAAGTAGTAGCGAAGCTCGATGTGTTTGGAGCGACCATGAAAGACGGCTTCTTTGGTGAGGTGGATGGTACTGTCGTTGTCACACCACAATGAGGGGCAGGGCTGTGGGGAACCAAGGTCGGTGAGCAGATAGCTGAGCCAGCGTGCCTCCTGAGCCGCCATCGTGACCGCGTACAGTTCGGCTTCGCATGTTGAGAGGGTGACGGAGGACGACCGGGTGGAGCGCCAGCTGATGAGGCCACTTCCAAGTGTAAAGCCATATCCTTGGGAGCTGCGACGGTCGGGCTGTGCATCGGCCCAAGATGAGTCGCTGAAGCCTTGAAGAATGGGTGGGTTCACACCACCAAGAGTGAGCACATGGTCCTTTGTGCCCTGCAGGTAGCGAAGCACCCGCATGGTCGCCTTCCAATGCTCCTCACCATGCCTGCCAGTGCCAACGAACTGCGCTAAAACACTGACTGGGTATGCCAGGTCAGGACGAGTGCAGACCATGGCGTACATCAGGGCCCCAACAAGCTCTGCATAGGGATGAGGGGAGGTGACGGGAGTGGGGGGAGGGGAGAGCCGATGCCCGAATGCAAGTGGTGTGGGGATGGGTTTGCAGGTTTTCATGCCAAACCTCTCAAGAATCTTCTCGATGTAAAAAGACTGAGAGAGGGTGATGGTCTTGGCAGTGAGGTCTCGGGTGATCTCCATGCCGAGGTAGTTGCGGACCTCCCCCAGGTCTTTGCAGGCAAGGCGTTTCTGCAGCTCATCTTTGACCTCCTGGAGTTCAGCATCTGTGTCAGCTGCCAGCAGCATGTCGTCGACGTAGACTAGGATGAAGAAGGGTGATGGGGTGAGGCGTAGGAAGAGGCAAGAGGCAGCACGAGAGGGGCGAAAGCCAAGAGCACGAAGGGTGGAGGATAGTTTGGCGTGGCATTCCCGAGGGGCTTGTTTGAGCCCATAGACCGGGCGTAGTAATTTCCAGACAGTAGCAGGGTCGTGAGGGGCGTGGAAGCCTTTGGGTCGTTCTAGAAAGATGAGTTCGTGAAGGTCGCCTTGTAGAAGGGCGGTGGTGACATCCATGGAATGAAGTATCATCCCACGCCTCCCAACAAAGTCAAAAAACACGCGAATGACCGGCGGAGTGGCGGTGGGTGAGTAGGTCTCGAAGAAGTCGGAGCCATAGGTCTGTGTGAAGCCTTTCGCCACATATCGAGCTTTGTAGACCGGAGCGTCGCCTGGAAGTAGTTTGACTCGGAATAGCCATCTGCCTTTGACCACGTTGTGCTTAGAGGGACGAGGAACGTCGAGAAACGAGCGATTGCTGATGAAGGCATTGCTCTCCTTGACCATGGCCTCGATCCAGAGAGGTGCGTCAAGACAGGCCAGTGCTTGCTCATAGGTGGTGGGTTCGTAGATGGTGGGTGTGGTGGAGAAGAGAAGGACAGTGGTGCCAGCCATTGTGCGGACGACGGGGGCGATGGTGGGTGAGAGGAGGTGGAGGAAAAGAAGCTCATCGTGAGAGTCTTCAGAGAGGTCTGGAGTGAGAGGAGGAGGAAGAGGAGGCGGTGGAGTTGCAAGACAGCTGCGTTGGAGGGTCGGGCCGATGCGGGGACACAGCTGCACTGATGCTCTGCTGCGCTGAGGGTCGGGGCGGGGAGACAGCTGCATTGCAGCTCGGCTTCGCTGAGTTGCCGTGAGGGGCAGGGAGACGGGAGCGCGACTGCCGAGAGAACCTGAGGTGCTGGTGCGGGGGGGGAGGGGAGGTGCTATGGTGGCGGAGAAGGGGGACGGATGTGAGAGACTGGAGGGAGGGGGGGTTGGACCTTGGGGTACCAAGAATGGGGACCGTGGAGCGGGTGTGAGGGTAGTGGCGGAGTATGAGAGGGGGAGTGGGAAGTAGGAGCCGGGAGGATGGAGGTGGAGTGAGTGGGGGAAGGCGTGGGGAGGAGGGAGGTGGGGGATGTTGTGCATGGAGGGAGGGAGGGGAAGGAGGGGGAGGGGGTGGGGAGGGATGGGGAGGGGCAGCGGGTGGGGAGGGAGGGGGAGGGGCAGCGGGTGGGGAGGGAGGGTGGACGGGGTCAAGGATGTCTCCTGATGAGGCGGGGGCAGAGGGGGGAGGGGGTAAGGGTGCAGGGGGGACAATGGTGGTGGGGGGGAGAAGGGAAGGGGAGGGGAGAGGGGGTGGGGGGGGAATGGTGTCAGTCCAGAGGAAGGGACGGGTGGTTAGAGGGAGGGGGTTAGGGGCTTTGGGGGAGGTATAGTACGGGTGGGCTTCATCGAATTCCACATCCCGACTACGAATGAGGTGACCTGAGGGGGGATGGAGGAAGAGATAGTCCGGGGAGGAGGTGTTGTGACCAAGAAAAATGCAGGGGAGAGTGCGGGAGGCTAGCTTCCCAGCTTTGCGTGAGCGGTCGACAGGGTGTATGAGAACATACGCCATGGAACCCCACACGCGTAGGGGGGTGATGTCGGGCTTTGTGAACGTCCAGAGCGCGGTGGGAGTGGTGGTGGGCCGGGAGGGATGAGGGTACAAGTTAGTGAGGATGGCAGCGTGGAGGATGGCATAGCCCCAGAGAGAGGGTGGGCAGGAGGCATGGACCATGAGGCACCGAGCAGTTTTGGTGACCTCGCGGACCCTGCTTTCCGCCACGCCATTCTGCTGAGGGGAATGAGGTAGGGTGTAGGTGTGAATAATGCCACGAGTGGTACAGTAGGATGAGAGCATGTTGTTAAGGAACTCACCACCGCCATCAGAGTGGAAGCGGGAGACAGGGTGTTTGAAATGGGTGCGTGCTTGTTCAGCCCAGGCAATGATAGCAGCCGGGGCCTCCGCCTTCGTGCGAAGGAGAGAGACGGAGGAGTAGCGACTGTGGTCATCCACCAGGATGAGCAGGTATTTATGATCTTGCCTGGTGGGGGAAGGGTTGGGGCCCCAGAGGTCCATGTGGACGAGATCGAGAGGCTGGGGAGAAAAAGAGGGGTGACTCTTGTGGGGGGCCTGTTTCAGTTTGCTTTCAACGCATACTGAGCAGGGAGGGGAGGGTGATGGGGGGAGAGGGGGAAGGGTGAGGGGGAGTCCTTTGAGGAGTTGGGTGGAGACAGTTTGACGAAGGGTGGCAAAGTTGGGATGACCCAACCTATGGTGAAGGAGAACTGCGGGGTGGGTAAGGTCACGACAGTGACAGGAGGAGGTGGGGGAGGGGGGGGGGAGGGGGGGGGGGAGGGGAGGAGGGGGGAGGGGGGGGGGGGAGGGGATGGGAGGAGGGGAGGGAAGGGGAGGGGAGGGGAGGGGAGGGGAGGGGAGGGGAGGGGAGGGGAGGGGGAGGGGAGGGGAGGGGAGGGGAGGGGAGGGGAGGGGGGGGGAGGGGATGGGGGAGGGGATGGGAGGAGGGGAGGGAAGGGGGAGGGGAGGTGAGGGGAGGGGAAGGGGTGCAGTGGGGGTGATGAGATGGTGAATGGCGGTGCGAGGGGTGCGGTACGTGTACAGGTTTGTGTGGGGGCAGAGGGGAATGCGACAGATGAAGCGACCAGTGGTGGTGTGGAAGAGGTCACAGTGGCGTGCATGACCGGGGAAGAGGGCGGTGATACTGAACCTGGTGAGGTCACATAGTGCTACCAGATTGTTGCGTAGGGAGGGGATGTATAGACCTGTGACTGTACCTGAGGGGAAGATGGGACAGGGGAGGGTGGAGGTGTGTCGACTTGTGATGGTGAAGCTGGAGTCAGCTCCGTGGATAGTGGAGGGAGTGGGAAGGGGTACCAGTGTGCCTGCATCGCGCAGGACAGTGTGTGTTGCTCCACTGTCCAGGATAAACTCAAGGCATGACGAGGAGGAGGAAAATGCGGAGTACTGGAAGAGAGACTCATTAATAGCATGGGCATACAGAGAATCAGCAGGAGCAGTGCTCACATGTCCTATGAATCCAGCAGAGGAGAACGGAGTAAAGCCAGGAGGGTTGGAGGAGGAGGAGGGCTGTTTAGCAAGATTAGTAGCAGGTCCATTGGGACCATGACCATATCCAGGAGGTGGGTAAGGCTGGTAAGGCCAGCCAGCATAGGGTGGAGGGTAGTGAGGGGGAGGGGCTTGAGGCGGAGGTGTGGGTGGAGGAGGAGTGGGAGTGGGAGTGGGGGTGGATGAGGGGAGAAGATGCTGGACTTGCTGGAGGATGTGAGATGGGAGATGCTGAGTGAGGACATTGTGGAGGTTGGGAGTAGAGGGTTGATAGGTGGGGAGAGTGCGAATGTCACGGAGGGAGGGGCGTGGGAAAAAAGTGTTCCAGCGAGGTGGAGTGCCAACGTTGCCACGTGCAAACCACTCGTCAGTGAGGGCTTTGAAACACGTGTCAGTGGTATGAGTGGTCTGAGAGCATGGCTGACCTTTGTTGGAGCCATAGCGGATGATGTACTGACATGGGGGAAGAGTGCCTGAAGGTGAGGTGTATCCACCACGTCCGCCACGGCCACCACCACGTCCACCACTGCGTCATCCTCCTCTTCCTCCACCACGTCCACCTCCACCACTGCCAGGACCGCCATGGCCACCACCTCCGCCGCTGTTCTGGTTGCCTGTGGGGGCTTTGCGGGTCTGTGCTGCATTGATAGTGGTGGAGTCACGTTGAAGGTCGGCTTCGCTGTCAAGTAGCCACTCGATAGTGTCAGTCACAGGAGGAGGGCGACGATAGCGGGAGGTGAAGTTGATGCGGTATGTGTCATATGTGGGGGGGAGGCAGTCGAGAATGCGTGCAGTGAGGAGATACTCCGAGATGACAATACCCCGATCGTTGAGGCGTTGTGCAGTATCAATGAGGCGGCGGGTGTAGGCAGCAGCAGTGGGAGAGGAGTCAAGGGTGGTGTCTTGAAATTTGCGAAAAAGTGCAAGGAGGGAGCGAAGGTCCTGCCGATCGTACTGTGTAGAGAGGGTTTTTCTGAGGCCTGAGGAGGAGGGTCGGAGGTCGCGTTTGAGGTGTGAGGGGATGCATGAGAAGATGATGGTGAGAGCACGACGATCCGCAACACACCATGCTGCGACATCTTTGTGAAGTTTGAGTAGCTCTGCAGCATGTTCCCTCGCATCTTTTTCGCACTGGAGGATACGCACAGTGGCGACAGCATGTGCTTCCTCAGCAACACGGTATGCTTCACGCTGGATGGTGTAGTTGTCACGTAGCTTATTGTAGTTGTTCAAGTTGGCCGCCCAGCGGTCCGGGCTATCATCATGAACTGGAGCATGGTGGGCGGGGTCAACGGGTTCTGGAAGTGGAGGGGCTTCGGGAGGAGGGGGATCAAGAGGAGGAAGAACAAGAGGAAGGCCGTTAGGGTTTTCAAGGACTATGTCAAGAAGACAGTAGTCTTGAATGATGACGAAGCCAAGATGGGTGTGAAGGGTATCCTCGAAGGACGCCCAATTCACAGCCGTCGTGTCATGAAGAAGTTCGAGCTTATCAATAGCTGCGAGCTCGAGAGGAGTCGAGTCGTCCATCATGAGGGGGAGGGGAGTGACGACACCGGCTTGAGGGCGGGTGCGGTCAAGGAGGGGGGAGGGACGACACCACCTGGAGGGGTGGTGCGGTCACGTTGCGCACGGTTAAACCGTGGTGCCAGCGGCTGCACCTTGTCGCCCGCGGCTGCGCCTCGTCGCCTGCGGCTGCGCCTCGTCGCCCGTGGCTGCGCCTCGTCGACCGTGGCAGCGCCTTGTCGTCCGCGGCAGCGCGTCCGTCCGCGGATGCGCCTCGCCGCCCGCGGGTGCACGTCCGTCCGCGGATGCGCCTCGTCGCCCGCGGGTGCGCGTCCGTCCGCGGATGCGCCTCGTCGCCCGCGGGTGCGTGTCCGTCCGCGGATGCGCCTCGTCGCCCGCGGGTGCGCGTCCGTCCGCGGATTTTAGGTTACAACAGACAGCCGCCCAATGTCACGCCCGTCCGCGTTAGGCGCGGATGTCGCTCCTGTCCGCGGTCGTCGCGGATGGCACGCTCGTCCGCCCCTGTCGAGGGTGTTGCGCCCGTCCGCGCTCGTCACGCTGAAGTCGCGGCGGTCGACCGTGGGCGTGATGGTCGCGTCATCCATCCGCGGTCGTCGAAATCGCGTCGGTCGACCGTGGACGTGGCGATCGCGTCGTCCGCCCGTGGTCGCCTAGGGTGCGATGGTCGGCCGTGACGATCGCGTCGTCTACGGTCGCCGATTTGGCGACGGTTGACCGACGGTCGCGATCGTCGTCGTGGTCGCGGAAAGGGGGGAGGGGGGCCTTAAGCGGCAAATCTGACCGTGAGAACGGAGATTGGGCTGAGATTTCGCGTAGGGGGGAGGGGGGCCGTGAGGGCATAAGCGTGCACTAGGCACTAAGTACGACTTAGTTGTCGTGCGAGGGGAATGGGCGTGATTCGGCACGCGGAGGTATGGTTCCTAGGATCGAAGAAGGTGTTAGCCGTTTGGCTCTGATTACCATGTGAGAAAACGAGAAGATGAACCATTGATAATATTAGGAAGAGAAGAGGTATACATAGTTGTGCTAGGAGTGAAGGTTTGGTTGGTAACCTAGCCAACATTATTGGCCCCCACCAATAAGTTGGGTTGAGGAATAGTTGGGGGGACCAATAATGTTGACCAAAAGTGGTTCAACATTATTGGAGGGGCCAATAATTCCCAACCCAACCTTGGGGGCCAAATAATTGGGCCAAGTGTTGAGTTCCAACCCCCAACTAGGGTTAGCCCTAGTTCTACACCCAAACTACATTTGGGTGTCTACCTCTAGCCGAGGCTTATAGGATAGATGCAGGTTACAAGTGAGGATGGTATTCTAACACCAAGTGCTTCACTGTACGCCCGATCACAATGCGCTGTGTCTGAGGCGCCTCGTAAGTTCCCTCGTTAACCCGTCGGCTTCAGTTCACTTCACTGTACGCCCAATCACACTGCGTTCGCTGCAAGCCATATCGTTGTAAGAAAGAGCTCAGAGCTGCAAGCGCAATGGCTGGCTCTACTGCTGCTGCTGTATATGTGAATGTTCACCAAGAACCCTATGTTGCTGGTAACTTCACTGTACTTGTCCTGAACATGCACAGCCTACTAAAGTTGATGAAAGTAAGGCCTCCGCAGCCCACTTGTTCTTTATCGACAAGTCCTGCTGCTCTATTCGTGAATGCTCACCAAGAACCCCATGGTGCTGGTAACTTCACTTTACCTCCTCACCTCCTCGTATCCTCAGACTCTCACCTCCTCATATTCTCAGACACTCACCTCCTCATTCCCTCACCTCCTCACCTCATCCTCATATCCTCGCCTCCTAGGCTCCTCACCCCCTCATATCCCCTCACCTCCTCATCTCCTCACCTCCTCAACTCCTCATATCCTCGTCTCCTCATTCCCCCCTGCCACTCCCTGCCTCTGTCAGTCCCTGCCTGCGTCTGTCATTCCCCACATCCGCATTCCAACAGAAGCAACTGAAAAATATAAGTGGCTCTAGTTCATGCGTCACCCTTGTGTGCGGCTCTCGTTTCCTCCCCCTCTCCACCATTGTCGCGCACAGGCAAATCTCCAACACAGTAGCAGGGGGGTCATTCCCTGCATCCCTGTCCCAACTGAAGCAACTCAAATCACTGTAAGCCTCGATCATTCGCCTGTGATGCCCAAAGCGCTCTGAACGCAGGTCAAATCTAATCAACCCAATGTGAGGCAATGCATCCCCTGATTGCTGTCACGCTCGCTCGCACCTACGCTTCTCTTCTCTTGCCCGCTATGCTCATCTATGCCCATCTGCTATCCCCTTCCGATCCTCTTCTCCCATAAACTGCCCCTCTCCTCTCTTCTGACTGGTGACACCAGGAGCCTGGCCTGGGACACTGTATTGACTTTCCAAAAATCTCAGATTTTTTCCGCCCTACCTCTAATTTCTAAATGGTCACACTAGGAGCCTGAAATACTGGATTGACTTTTTCGACATTCTCAGAGTCACAACCCTCCTTCTGAATCTTGGCACCACCACCGCCACCCGGAGCTTAGAGGGCACTACCTTGTCAACCCATTCTCCACAACCTCATTTGCATCAACTCAAAATGCCCATCTGATCTGACCCTCCTCTTTCCTCTCCCATCCGCACTCCTCGCCTCTAAATGCTGCCACCACCAGGAGCCTGGGCGGCACTACCTTGTCCGGCACCATTCCCCACTTCTTCTCCTGCCTCACTTCCTTGACACGCCTGTAAGTGATTCTTTACGATTAGAGTTCCATTCCATCTCTTCCTGCCACTCCTTTGGTTCTATTGTCATTTCATGTGCGCTGCCTCTCGTCCACTTTTGCGAATTCTTAAAAACTATCTTGATTCCCTATTCAACTGCCACAACATGTGTAGATTCCCTTGTCCTTTATGCTGCTTGCCAGCCACCTTTTGAGACGTTCAAGACTCGCCGCGCTTGTCTGCTATGCTGCATGCATGCCATTGCAAATGCTTGAGACGCCTAGAAAAGCGTCTCTCTTGTCCTACCTTGTGCTTGCCGAGTTGAACTCTCTTGTCCTACCTTGTGCATGCCGAGTTAAACTCTCTTGTCCTACCTTGTGCATGCCGAGTTAAACTCTCTTGTCCTACCTTGTGCATGCCGAGTTGAACTCTCTTGTCCTACCTTGTGCATGCCGAGTTGAACTCTCTTGTCCTACCTTGTGCTTGCCGAGTTGAACCAGCCAGCTTTGAGCCCCTTTTTTGGAATCTCCTTCGGGGTCACTTCTGTTTCCCTCCTGATGTTCGTATCCCCCTTCACTCCATTCCACTCCAACCCACGCCACCCCACTCCACACAACACCTTTCCACCGCAAGCCACCCTTCTCCACTCCTCCTCTCCCCGCAGGGAACTTGCGCGGGTGGGCCTCTCCTCCTCGCTGCCCGCTGGCTTCTCGCGTCTCACCAACCTCATCATGCTGTGCGTGCGTCTGTGCTGTGCTGCTTGCTTCTTCAACCCTAACCCAAACCTTAGATCTCAAATCCCACCTCTCCGTGGTTCCCCCCTACCTTTGCCCTCCCAACATACTTTCTTGCAGCAAATCTCACCCTTCTCCCCCTCCTCCCTCCCCAACTTTCACTCCTGCCCTCCCGCATTCCCCTGACCCCCCTCCTTCATCCCCCCTCTGATCTGCCCCTTGCATTCTCCATCCGTTCCCCCTTCATCCCCTCTAATCCACTTCCTGCGTTCCCCCTTCACTCCACTCCCATTGCACCCATTTGAATTCCTCCCCGGCAGCGTTCTTCCCGGCAACAATCTCACCGGCTCACTCGCTCCTCTCGCTGGCATGAAGCGCCTGCAGCACATGTGAGTCGAGTTGAAAGGCCCTTGTGAGTCGAGTTGAAAGGCCCTTCTGAGTCGAGTTGAAAGGCCCTTGTGAGTCGAGTTGAAAGGCCCTTGTGAGTCGAGTTGAAAGGCCCTTGTGAGTCGAGTTGAAAGGCCCTTGTGAGTCGAGTTGAAAGGCCCTTGTGAGTCGAGTTGAAAGCCCCTTGTGAGTCGAGTTGAAAGGCCCTTGTGAGTCGAGTTGAAAGGCCCTTGTGAGTCGAGTTGAAAGGCCCTTGTGAGTCGAGTTGAAAGGCCCTTGTGAGTCGGGTTGAAAGGCCCTTGTGAGTCGAGTTGAAAGGCCCTTGTGAGTCGAGTTGAAAGGCCCTTGTGAGTCGAGTTGAAAGGCCCTTGTGAGTCGAGTTGAAAGGCCCTTGTGAGTCGAGTTGAAAGGCCCTTGTGAGTCGAGTTGAAAGGCCCTTGTGAGTCGAGTTGAAAGGCCCTTGTGAGTCGAGTTGAAAGGCCCTTGTGAGTCGAGTTGCAAGGCCCTTGTGAGTCGAGTTGAAAGGCCCTTGTGAGTCGAGTTGAAAGGCCCTTGTGAGTCGGGTTGAAAGGCCCTTGTGAGTCGAGTTGAAAGGCCCTTGTGAGTCGAGTTGAAAGGCCCTTGTGAGTCGAGTTGAAAGGCCCTTGTGAGTCGAGTTGAAAGGCCCTTGTGAGTCGAGTTGAAAGGCCCTTGTGAGTCGAGTTGAAAGGCCCTTGTGAGTCGGGTTGAAAGGCCCTTGTGAGTCGAGTTGAAAGGCCCTTGTGAGTCGAGTTGAAAGGCCCTTGTGAGTCGAGTTGAAAGGCCCTTGTGAGTCGAGTTGAAAGGCCCTTGTGAGTCGAGTTGAAAGGCCCTTGTGAGTCGAGTTGAAAGGCCCTTGTGAGTCGAGTTGAAAGGCCCTTGTTAGTCGAGTTGAAAGGCCCTTGTGAGTCGGGCCGAAAGGCCCTTGTGAGTCGGGCCGAAAGGCCCTTGTGAGTCGGGCCGAAAGGCCCTTGTGAGTCGGGCCGAAAGGCCCTTGTGAGTCGGGCCGAAAGGCCCTTGTGAGTCGGGCCGAAAGGCCCTTGTGAGTCGGGCCGAAAGGCCCTTGTGAGTCGGGCCGAAAGGCCCTTGTGAGTCGGGCCGAAAGGCCCTTGTGAGTCGGGCCGAAAGGCCCTTGTGAGTCGGGCCGAAAGGCCCTTGTGAGTCGGGCCGAAAGGCCCTTGTGAGTCGGGCCGAAAGGCCCTTGTGAGTCGGGCCGAAAGGCCCTTGTGAGTCGGGCCGAAAGGCCCTTGTGAGTCGGGCCGAAAGGCCCTTGTGAGTCGGGCCGAAAGGCCCTTGTGAGTCGGGCCGAAAGGCCCTTGTGAGTTGGGCCGAAAGGCCCTTGTGAGTTGGGCCGAAAGGCCCTTGTGAGTCGGGCCGAAAGGCCCTTGTGAGTCGGGCCGAAAGGCCCTTGTGAGTCGGGCCGAAAGGCCCTTGTGAGTCGGGCCGAAAGGCCCTTGTGAGTCGGGCCGAAAGGCCCTTGTGAGTCGGGCCGAAAGGCCCTTGTGAGTCGGGCCGAAAGGCCCTTGTGAGTCGGGCCGAAAGGCCCTTGTGAGTCGGGCCGAAAGGCCCTTGTGAGTCGGGCCGAAAGGCCCTTGTGAGTCGGGCCGAAAGGCCCTTGTGAGTTGGGCCGAAAGGCCCTTGTGAGTCGAGTTAAAAGGCCCTTGTGAGTCGGGCCGAAAGGCCCTTGTGAGTCGGGCCGAAAGGCCCTTGTGAGTCGGGCCGAAAGGCCCTTGTGAGTCGGGCCGAAAGGCCCTTGTGAGTCGGGCCGAAAGGCCCTTGTGAGTCGGGCAGAAGGGCCCTTGTGAGGCCCTTGTGAGTCGGGCCGAAAGGCCCTTGTGAGTCGGGCCGAAAGGCCCTTGTGAGTCGGGCCGAAAGGCCCTTGTGAGTCGGGCCGAAAGGCCCTTGTGAGTCGGGCCGAAAGGCCCTTGTGAGTCGGGCCGAAAGGCCCTTGTGAGTCGGGCCGAAAGGCCCTTGTGAGTCGGGCCGAAAGGCCCTTGTGAGTCGGGCCGAAAGGCCCTTCTGAGTCGGGCCGAAAGGCCCTTGTGAGTCGGGCCGAAAGGCCCTTGTGAGTCGGGCCGAAAGGCCCTTGTGAGTCGGGCCGAAAGGCCCTTGTGAGTTGGGCCGAAAGGCCCTTGTGAGTTGGGCCGAAAGGCCCTTGTGAGTCGGGCCGAAAGGCCCTTGTGAGTCGGGCCGAAAGGCCCTTGTGAGTCGGGCCGAAAGGCCCTTGTGAGTCGGGCCAACCCTTCATCTTCCCACTGGATCCACCCCCTCCTTCCTGCAGGTGCCAGCCAGGTGTGACTTAGCTTCACTCATAACAAGCCCAACCCCACTCCACTCACAACAACCCCAACCCCCACTCCACTCATCATAACAATCTCTCCTCTCCCCATCCCAACCCCACTCTCCCTGGCACTCATACAACTGTACAACACCCACCATGTTCCACTTGACCCACCATGTTCCACTCGACCCACCATGTTCCACTTGACCCACCATGTTCCACTTGACCCACCCCTCTCCCACGTGCAGCAACGGCATTCACAATCGTTTCTCTGGCAGCATCTCGTCCGGCTTCAGCCGACTTTCACTCAATCAACACCCACCATGTTTCACTTGACCCACTCCTCTCTCCCACCTGCAGCAACGGCATTCACAATCGCTTCTCAGGCAGCATCCCATCGACCATCAGCCGCCTCGCAGACCTCTCCACCATGTGAGCCTCTGCTGCTGCTGCTGCTGCTGCCGCCGCCGCTGCCGCCCTGCTGCTGCCCTGCCGCTGCCCTGCTGCTGCTGGTGTGAATGTGAGTGGCTGCTGCTGCTGTTGGTGTGATTGTGAATGCCTGATTGTGCTGCCTCTGGTGTGAATGCAGAAACATGTGTGCTGTATTCCCGATCGTTGTCTTCCTCTTTCCTACTTCCCTACTCCCTTCTTTCCCCCTTGCCTTCCTCTCTTCCTCCCTTCCTACCTGCTTCCTGTCTTCCTTTCTACACTCTCGCCTTTCATCTCTCCTTCCCTTCTGCCTTTTCTCCATCCTCCCCATGCCCCTCCTCAAATCCCCCCCCCCCCCAACTTCCCCACCCCCCCGCCTATCTTCCTTCCACCCGGCCTCCCCACCTTTCTTCACCCCTCCCGCTGTTCCAATCCGCTCGCTCGTCCCTCCTCCCCATGGCTGGCCGAACAGCCAGCATGCAAAAGCAGTGCCGCCTCTCTATTCACCCTTTCCTTCTCTGACTGGACAAAGTGACTTTGGAGTCGACTCAAAAGTCACCTCAAAAGCAGTGCTACCTCTCTGTTCACCCTTTCCCTCTCTGACTGGACATCTTCCAGTCAGACATCTTCCAGTCAGACATCTTACGCAAGTTCTGATTTTAAGTTGAAGATTGGTTCAAACTGGCTCTCTAAGAAAACGCTCTACCGCACAGTTAACCAGGCTCCTTCCTTTCATCCATTCCACGGGGTTTGTCCCATCGTTCTAAGCAACATATGAGTTGATGGAAAAAAGACCTCCGCAGCCCACCTGTCCGCAGCTGACAGCACCAGCATGCAAAAGCAGTGCCACCTCTCTGTTCACCCTTTCCCTCTCTGACTGGACATCTTCCAGTCAATTTTTTAGTTGATTCAATAGTCAACTCTGTTCACCCTTTCCCCCCAAGGCCAGCCCCCAAGGCCACCCTCCATCATCCATATCCCTGCCTACTGCCTTCCTCCCGTTCCTCTTTCTCCCCACCCTCAACCCCCCCACTGCTGTGCCGACCCCAGCTGGCTAGACAACAACACCATCACCGGTTCCTTCCCAGCCTCCATCTCCAAACTCCAAAACCTCGACTTCCTGTGAGTCTGTCTGTGCCGCTCATGTATTGTGCTGTGCCCACTGCCCACTGCCCACTGCCCAGTGCGTGCGGTGATGTTCCTTCCCACCCTCCATCTCCAAACTTCAAAAATCTCGACTTCCTGTGCGTCGCTTCAAGACCAGTTCTTATGCTTCGATGCTCTGACTCTGTCACCCATGATCAATCACCACTCGCCACTCGCCACTCGCCACTCACCACTCACCACTCACCACTCACCACTCACCACTCACCACTCACCACTCACCACTCACCACTCACCACTCGCCACTCACCACTCACCACTCACCACTCACCACTCACCACTCACCACTCACCTTTCACCTCACCACTCACCACTCACCTTTCACCTCACCACTCACCACTCACCTTTCACCTCACCACTCACCACTCACCTTTCACCTCACCACTCACCACTCACCTTTCACCTCACCACTCACCTTTCACCTCACCACTCACCACTTGCCTCTCACCTCGCCACTCACCACTCACCACTCACCTCACCACTCACCACTCACCACTCACCACTCACCACTCACCACTCACCTCACCACTCACCACTCACCTCTCACCACTCACCTCTCACCACTCATCTCACCTCTCACCACTCACCACCCATTGCAGGGGCATGCAGTTCAACCGGCTCACAGGCAGTCTACCGCAAGGCATGGGAGGGCTCTCAAGCTTGCAAGGCCTGTGAGTCTTCAGTTGCAGTCTACTTTTGAGGCGCCTCAAAAGTAGACCACAAGCCATGGGAGGGCTCTCAAGCTTGCAAGGCCTGTGAGTCTTCAGTTTCAGTTTTGAGCTTTCAGATCAGATGCCTAAGAACGCAACGCCTGTCAGTTGCGAGCCACGTGAAATGAGGGTGTTTTTTAGACGTCTCAAAAACACCCTCATTTCACGCAGTTTTGAGCTTTCAGACGCCTAAGAACGCAAGAGGCCTGTCAGTTGTGAGTTGCAAGGATAGAGAGACCTCCGCAAGCCACTGGGGAGGGAGGGGGGGCTCTCTAGCCTATTGAGTCAGTGAGTTTTGAGTTACAAGGACTCAATAGAAAGAAACCACCTCAAGCCATGACAGGCCTCTTTAGCCTTCAAGGCCTGTACAAACTACCTCTCTCCTCTCGCCGTCCTACTACTCCCCTTCCTCTCGCCATCCTATCTGTTTCTTTCGAGCTAACCTCTCAACCAATCCTCTCCCTCTCTCCTTTGTGTATCCGCCCACCACAGTGACCTCTCACACAACAGCATCTCAAGCTCACGCCCTTTAACCATGGGCATGTTTTTTTAGTCTGTTCCCCTCGAATCGAACCACCCTCTCAAACGGTGCTTTGCTCCCCCTCTCCCACTCTGTTCCCCCTCTCCCACTCTGTTCCCCCTCTCCCACTCTGTTCCCCCTCTCCCACTCTGTTCCCCCTCTCCCACTCTGTTCCCCCTCTCCCGCTCTGCTCCCCCTCTCCCACTCTGTTCCCCCTCTCCCACTCTGTTCCCCCTCTCCCCCTCTGTTCCCCCTCTCGCCCTCTGTTCCCCCTCTCCCCCTCTGTTCCCCCTCTCCCCCTCTGTTCCCTCTCTCCCCCTCTGTTCCCCCTCTCCCCCTCTGTTCCCCCTCGTGCGTCCTCCTCCTCTATTCACCCACCACAGTGACCTCTCACACAACAGCATCTCAGGTCACTGCCCTTTACCATGGACATCAGGCTATCTCCAGCTCAGGACCTCTTTTCCTTTCAGGCTATACTCTCTCGAACAGTAATTCTCTCCCTCTCTCCCCTTTGTCCCCATGTGCATCCGTTCTCTATCCACCCACCACAGTGACCTCTCCCACAACAGCATCTCAGGCTCACTGCCGTCTACCACCATGAGCATTGGGCAATCTCAAGCTTCTCCCATCATCTGCTGTGTCCCCTCCAATGCTGCAGGGACCTCTCCCACAACAGCATCTCAGGCTCACTGCCGTCTACCATGGGCAAACTGAGGCTTCTCCTCCCATCATCTGCTGTGTCCCCTCCAATGCTCCACCTCTCCCACAACAGCATCTCAGGCTCACTGCCGTCTACCATGGGCAAACTGAGGCTTCTCCTCCCATCATCTGCTGTGTCCCCTCCAATGCTGCAGGGACCTCTCACACAACAGCATCTCAGGCTCACTGCCGTCTACCATGGGCAAACTGAGGCTTCTCCGCTCCATGTACGCCCCCTTCACTCTCCTTTCCTGCCCTACCTCTCTCGCTCCCCTTTCCTGCCCTACCTCTCTCACTCTCCTTTCCTACCCTTCTTTGTTCGGATCCTTCCTTTGAGTCAGTTAAATTATCTGAGGCTTCTCCACTCCATGTAAACCTCTTTCGTTCCCCATGCCTACAACCTACCTAACGTGTTTGAAGGACTTTTTTTGAGCCGGCTATACATTCCAAGGCTTTTCTGCTCCACATAGGGCTTCACCACTCTCCTGATCTACCTGAATTTGTTCAGTTGCTTCCTTTGAGTCGTCTAGAATTCAGAAGCTTTTCCACTCCATGCAAATCTCCTTCATTCTCCTCACCTGCCTTCTTACTTTCTTCGGTTCCTTTCTTTGAATTAGCTAAAATATATGAGGCTTTTCAGCTCCATGCACGTTTCTTGAGGCGCCACAAAACCTCTGTGGTGCCTCGAAACTCCTTGTTGAGTCTTACCAAAATCAAATTGAACCAGAAAAAAGACTCACTTGACTACTCTTACCTACTATATTTGTCTTACCTTTTTTCAAAAATTACTTAACTCATGCAATATGAGTCTCCCTAAATTAACTCTTAGCTAACATTTTACGCTATGTTCCGTGTAGGTCGCCTTCGCTTCATTTACACGCCTTCTCTATCTCCAGATGGTCTGATGGAAAGGTAGTTTTGACCCAGATCCAATCAGATCTAACTCGTTCTAATCTCTTTTAGGCTGAGCTTAGGCTAGTAGGGATTGAGTAGGTAAGAAAAATGTCATTCAAACCTGAGCGTACGCGCGTTTCGGCCGATGGCCTTTGTCAGATGGTCTCATCCAATTCAAGTCTTGCATGTGTTGTATGGCATGTGATGGCATGGAGAGGCACAACATCTGTCATGGCATGGCATGGCTCTGCATGGTATGACATGGGATGATATGCCACGGCATGGCACAGCATGGCATGGGATGATGATGGGATGGCATGGGATGATGATGGGATGACATGGGATGATGACATGGCATGATATGGCATGGAATGGCATGCATGGCATGGCATGGCATGGTATGGTATGGGATGATGGCATGGCATGGCATGGCATGGCATGGCATGGCATCGCATGGCATGGCACGGTTGTCGTGTGGCACGTGACGGCATTGCAGGCGAGTTGACAACAACAGCATCACTGGATCCATCCCTCTCTCCTTCTCCTCCCTCACTTCACTCTTGTTGCTGTCAGTCCCTCACCACACTCTCCTTCCTGTCAGTCATTCCACACTCTCCTTCCTCTCACACCCTTTCACTCCCCATGCTTCATTTAGTTCTCTGTGCTGAGAAGCCCCTTGCACCACACCGCACCACACCACACCACAGGGTACCTCTGCACCGCACCACAGAGTACCTCTGCTGCCCTTGCATGCACCACCACCCGCCTTGCACTGTGCTTCCCGTCCCACCCTTTCCTCACTCTGCTCCTCACTCCCCTCCTCACTCCCCTCCTCACTCCCCTCCTCACTCCGCTCCTCACTCCCCTCCTCACTCCGCTCCTCACTCCCCTCCTCACTCCCCTCCTCACTCCCCTCCTCACTCCCCTCCTCACTCCCCTCCTCACTCCGCTCCTCACTCCCCTCCTCACTCCCCTCCTCACTCCCCTCCTCACTCCCCTCCTCACTCCCCTCCTCACTCCGCTCCTCACTCCCCTCCTCACTCCCCTCCTCACTCCCCTCCTCACTCCCCTCCTCACTCCCCTCCTCACTCCCCTCCTCACTCCGCTCCTCACTCCCCTCCTCACTCCCCTCCTCACTCCCCTCCTCCCTCCCCTCCTCACTCCGCTCCTCGCTCCTCTCCTCGCTGTGTCTCATCAGCTCCTTCCTCGCCGCATTGCCACGCCTGCAGCTCATGTGAGCAGCGCTGGTTTAATTTGCAAAGATGTCAGAACCCACCATCACAACGACAATGAGCCATACCTTCTAGAGGTGAGTTTTGAGGCGCCTCAAAACTCACCTCAAATGTGAGCAGTGCTGGTTTAAATTGCAAAAATGTCAGAACGCACCTGAGCCATACCTCTTCGTCGCCTTGCCACGACTGCAGTAAAGAGCATGCAATGCAACACCACCCACACCCCTGACACACGTCTCTGCTGCTGCATTGAGTGAAGAGTGTGCCTCTGCTTGCACGCCAGCGTGGTAGTGCAATTCAAGTCTTGCATGCGCTGTATGGCTTGTGAGGCATCAAGTGTGTGAGGCATCAAGCGTTTGAGGCATCAAGTGTGTGAGGCATCAAGTGTGTGAGGCATCAAGTGTGTGAGGCATCAAGTGTGTGAGGCATCAAGTGTGTGAGGCATCAAGTGTGTGAGGCATCAAGTGTGTGAGGCATCAAGTGTGTGAGGCATCAAGTGTGTGAGGCATCAAGTGTGTGAGGCATCAAGTGTGTGAGGCATCAAGTGTGTGAGGCATCAAGTGTGTGAGGCATCAAGTGTGTGAGGCATCAAGTGTGTGAGGCATCAAGTGTGTGAGGTATCCCTTCCAAGCAACCCTTAGACGCTTTGACGGTCCACCAGCATATCCACGCCACTCCGGCTGTAACTCATGTGATCTGGAAAACTCAACCCTCTGCATTTCCCCTCTCTCCATTTCCCCCTCCTCCATTTCCCGTTCTACTCATTCCCCCTCTCTCCACTCCCCTCTCTCCATTTCCCCTCTCTCCATTCCCCTCTCTTTATTTCCCCTCTCTCCATCCCCGTCACCCTTTATCCATCCCCATACTCCCACTGCTCCCCCACCAATCATCCACCCACCACCCCCTCACTGCATCCACTCGTTACACCTCTTCCCCACCACCAGCTACCTCAACAACAATAGACTCAACGGCACTCTGCCAACCAACTTCGCAAGCTTCCCAGCCCTTGAAGTCCTGTAAGCCTTTCAAGTCCTGTAAGCCTTTCAAGTCCTGTAAGCCTTTCAAGTCCTGTAAGCCTTTCAAGTCCTGTAAGCCTTTCAAGTCCTGTAAGCCTTTCAAGTCCTGTAAGCCTTTGAAGTCCTGTAAGCCTCGACACAGGAGACCACTTTTGAGGTCATGTAAGCTTCTCAGTTGAAGTCCTGTAAGCCTTTCAAGTCCTGTAAGCCCTTCAAGTCCTGTAAGCCCTTCAAGTCCTGTAAGCCCTTCAATTCCTGTAAGCCCTTCAAGTCCTGTAAGCCCTTCAAGTCCTGTAAGCCCTTCAAGTCCTGTAAGCCCTTCAAGTCCTGTAAGCCCTTCAAGTCCTGTAAGCCCTTCAAGTCCTGTAAGCCCTTCAAGTCCTGTAAGCCCGTCAAGTCCTGTAAGCCCTTCAAGTCCTGTAAGCCCTTCAAGTCCTGTAAGCCCTTCAATTCCTGTAAGCCCTTCAAGTCCTGTAAGCCCTTCAAGTCCTGTAAGCCCTTCAAGTCCTGTAAGCCCTTCAAGTCCTGTAAGCCCTTCAATTCCTGTAAGCCCTTCAAGTCGTGTAAGCCCTTCAAGTCGTGTAAGCCCTTCAAGTCCTGTAAGCCCTTCAAGTCCTGTAATCCCTTCAAGTCCTGTAAGCCTTTCAAGTCCTGCAACAACTCTCCAACAGGAGCCTCTCCAACAACCTACTGCAGGGCCATGTGTGTCATTGTAACAACCCGCAACAACTCTCCCCCCCTGCCCTTCCCATTCCTTCCCTCCCAACCTTATGTCCACAGGAGCCTCTCCAACAACCTGCTGCAGGGCCATGTGTGTCATTGTAACAACCCGCAACAACTCTCCCCCCCTGCCCTTCCCATTCCTTCCCTCCCAACCTTATGTCCACAGGAGCCTCTCCAACAACCTGCTGCAGGGCCATGTGTGTCATTGTAACAACCCGCAACAACTCTCCCCCCCTGCCCTTCCCATTCCTTCCCTCCCAACCTTATGTCCACAGGAGCCTCTCCAACAACCTGCTGCAGGGCCATGTGTGTCATTGTAACAACCCGCAACAACTCTCCCCCCCTGCCCTTCCCATTCCTTCCCTCCCAACCTTATATCCACAGGAGCCTCTCCAACAACCTGCTGCACGGCCGACTATGTGTCATTGTAATGAGGTGACTTTTAAATCAACTCAAAATTCCTTCCCTCCTTCCTTTTCATATCTCCCCAGAACCCTCTCCAGCAACCTGCGTCAGGGCTGCCCAATGAACCCGTCGGGCAGGCAATGTTCGAACATCTGTCTTCCTCCGGATCACACTTTCCCTCACTCCCTCTCTCACTCTCCCCCTCTCTTGCTTATCTCCACAGAATCCTCTCCAACAACCTGCTGCAGGGCAGCATACCACCCTCCATTGCACCGTCTCTAATCCCACCCTCCTCTGATCCCTGTGGAGTCACTTTGACCTCTCTTTGAGTCTCTCATCCCTCCCCTGTCTGGGCAGAATCCTCTCCAACAACCTCCTGCAGGGCAGCATACCACCCTCCATTGCAAGTGCTCCCAAACTGACAAAACTGTCAGTCCGTGCTATTTCAAGTTCCATTGCAAGCCACCTCTCAGGCTATAACAAGCCGCCCTCTCAGACAATAGCAAGTTTCCTCTTCGAACATAGTAATCCGCCTCTCAAACTGCAGTGAACCCCTCTTAGGCCACAATGAGCTGCATCCCATGTCCCCCATGCACTCCCCCATGCACTCCCCCATGCACTCCCCCATGCTCCCCCATGCTCCCCCATGCACTCCCCCATGCACTCCCCCATGCTCCCCCATGCTCCCCCATGCCCTCCCCCGTGCACTCCCCCATGCAGTCCCTGAGGCACCTCTGATTCGCCCCTCGGATTCGTTTGCTGTGATTGGTTCCCTAGCCTCACATTCCTCCCCCTGTGATCCCCACCCTCTCTGATCCCACCTCCGCTGACTCCTCTTGAATCGCTTCGACCCTTACGCTCCACCACCCATGCAGCCTGCTCGCCAACAACCAGCTGTCAGGCCGCCTCCCTGAGCCCACCCACCCGCTCTTGTTTGGCTTTAATGCCTTTGACCTCTCCCCTTTCTCCCCTGCACCATCCATGCAGCCTGCTCGCCAACAACCAGCTGTCAGGCCGCCTCCCTGACCCTTCGATCACCAACCCAGCCTTCTTCACATTGTGAGTCAGGGGCGCACTGTAGAAAAGCAGACCAATGTGCACTATGTCCACAAGTAGCAGCTGGTTCAGAAATGCAGAAAGGTTCAAGAAACAGTAACTGAGTTGAAGTAACGGATACAAGCAAAACAAGGGCTAAAATAGGCAGAGAGTGTGGAGAGCTACTTTGGAGGCGACCTGGGCTGGTCTGGTCCAGGTGAAGGAAGTGGTACTCAGGGGACTTGGGGTGGCCAAATGACTTTTGAGTCGACTCAAAAGTCAACTCACCTGGGCTGGTCTGGTCCAGGTGAAGGAAATGGTACCCAAGGGACTTGGGGTGGCCAAATGGGCTCTCAAGTTGCCCTCAGTTACGTTGGAAACGTGATTGACCCAAAAAAAAAGTGGGCCTGGAAGCGCCCCCTCTAGTGGAACCACGATTCCACGAATCGGAAACGCGAATTCCAAGCTGGAGCTGCGTTTCCAATGTTGGAATTCGTGGGTTCAGGCTGGAGCCGCGTCCCCAAGGTTGGTTTTGAGTCGACTCAAAAGCGTGGATCCAAGCTGGAGCCGCGTTTTCCCAATGTGGAGCCGCGGATTTGTGGGTCCAAGCTGGAGCCGCGTCCCTAAGGTTGGGAAACGTGTTGAAGTGCGCCAAAGCTGAATTTGGGGTGCCTACTACTTGATTAGACCACTCAGGGGCACCCTATAACCATTATTACCCAACCCTTAATGTCGACACCATTATAATGTAAACACTTACATATAGCTCATAAATAATTGAACTAAACCTCCAGCAAACTTGGACAAGACGTACTCAACAGCACGCAATTGCACATTGTTAGTGAAGGGATGTGACGAGCGTACGCACATTATCGCTCCATCCCTACGCTCCTCCACATCCACTCTCTCTCATCTTTTCCTTCTCCATCGCTCACTCCAAGCCCCTCCCCTCTCCCCCTCCCTTCTCCGCTCTCTTCTTTCCTCCCTCCCCTCTCCAACCTCCACTTTCCACCACTCACTTCTCCATCCCTCCCTCACAGTGACGTGCAAAACAACAACCTCTCCGGCCCAATCACAGACTCCGTATTCCCTGCCTTACCGAAGCTCTACATCCTGTGAGTCTCCCCCTAACTGTCTCCCACCCTCTGCCGTCCACCCTTTGGCTTCCACTCCACGCGCCCTCGGCCTTCCACCCACACTCTGATCCTTTGCAGCATGCACATCCCTTTTCTCTCTGCATACCCCTCCTCCTGTCTTCCCCCAAAAGACCATTCTCCCTCAGAAAACAGCCAGCTCTCTAGTTTGCATTTCACAAGGTGTTTTCCTTCTGTTGCTTGCCACTCTCCACTCCACAGCTCCTTGCACGTCACTTCCTTTCCCGCTTCCCATGCATCCTCTCTCACTCATACATCTCCCTTATCCCCCCATCTCCCTTATCCCCCCATCTCCCTCATCCCCCCATCCCCCTCCAGCCAACTCTCTGGGAACCGCTTCACAGGGGTTGTCCCTCTGGTGCTCGCTCAATGCCCAAGCCTTGTGGAAGTGTGAGTGTGCCTCGACTTAGGGTGTCATCTCACTGTTTTTAAGCCTGGACCCATTCTTTACATCTACCTCCTCTCATGCCTTATCTCTGCTCTAAGTTAACCTCTGCATGTCTTGGAACCTGTCTTGGAATCTGTCTTAAAATCCTTTTGATAACTCTCAAAAGGAACTCCTCCTTCCCCTCCTCTTCTCCTCCTCTTCCCCTCCTCTTCCCCTCCTCCTCCCCTCCTCTTCCCCTCCACTTCCCCTCCTCTTCCCCTCCTCTTTCCCTCCTCTTCCCCTCCTCTTCCCCTCCTCTCCCCTTCCCTTTTTTTACTCCCCTTCCACCAACACGAGCATGAGCAGTGCCATTCGCTGACTTTTTCTCAAACACAATACCAATGCTATCGGTAAATTACTGCATGCGTGTTAAAATGGCCGCACTCCTACACCCTTTCTCCCCTCACTCCTCCCCTGTTCGTTTCTCTGTTCCTCCCTCTCCCCCCTCCACAACAACAGCAGGAGCTTGAGCAGTAACATGGAGTGCTCCTCACCTCATTATCGCTTCTGTGTTTCTTCTCTATTCCCCTTTCCTAACCCCAAGCCTCCCCCCACCACCCCCCCTCCCCCCAACAACAGGAGCGTCAGCAGCAGCATGGCATGGCAGAATGTGCCCCTCGTCCCACACCACACCCCCCGACCCCTCACCCCTCCTAACCCCCACCGTGTTTTGTCTCTCTTCTCTGCAACAGCAGAAGCATCAGCACTGGCATGGAGTGTCTAACTCCTCACCCCTCCATGCCCCTCCCCACCTGTGTTGCTTCTCTATTCCGCCCATCCCCCGCAACAACAGGAGCATCAGCGAGGGCACGGACTGCCCTTCCCTCCCCTCACCACCCCCCTCCCTTCCCCCCTTGTGATAATTTTCCGCCCATGCCCCACAACAGGAGCATCAGCGAGGGCACGGAGTGCCCCTCGCCTGCCTCTGCATGCACCCCCACTCTCACCTCCCTCCTCGCCTCCTCTGCTGCTCCTCTCGCCTTCTGCTCTCTCTGCCCCAACTTCTGCACGGATTGCAAGACTGGTGATGAGAGCACTGCTCCCTTTGCACCACTTCTCCGTTCGCACCGCTCCCTTTGCCGCACTATCTCTGACCAAACTGTGCATGCAGTTTAAGATAGGTTTGCAGTAAACACCTCTATGTTTGCTCCTCCCTCTCTGCTCCACGCACTGCTTGCCCCTCTCTGTTCACACCACTCTCTGTGCTCTCTTTTTTGCATGGACAGTGCGTGCACGATGTTGGCAAGTCGAGTATGTAGATCATAGTTTACCTCGGTTATAAGTCGAGTATGTAGATCATAGTTTACCTCGGTTATAAGTCGAGTATGTAGATCATAGTTTACCTCGGTTATAAGTCGAGTATGTAGATCATAGTTTACCTCGGTTATAAGTCGAGTATGTAGATCATAGTTTACCTCGGTTATAAGTCGAGTATGTAGATCATAGTTTACCTCGGTTAAAAGTCGAGTATGTAGATCATAGTTTACCTGGGTTATAAGTCGAGTATGTAGATCATAGTTTACCTTGGTTATAAGTCGAGTATGTAGATCATAGTTTACCTCGGTTATAAGTCGAGTTTGTAGATCATAGTTTACTTCGGTTATAAGTCGAGTATGTAGATCATAGTTTACCTCGGTTATAAGTCGAGTATGTAGATCATAGTTTACCTCGGTTATAAGTCGAGTATGTAGATCATAGTTTACCTCAGTCATAAGTCGAGTATGTAGATCATAGTTTACCTCGGTTATAAGTCGAGTATGTAGATCATAGTTTACCTCGGTTATAAGTCGAGTATGTAGATCATAGTTTACCTTGGTTAAAAGTCGAGTATGTAGATCATAGTTTACCTCGGTTATAAGTCGAGTTTGTAGATCATAGTTTACTTCGGTTATAAGTCGAGTATGTAGATCATAGTTTACCTCGGTTATAAGTCGAGTATGTAGATCATAGTTTACCTCGGTTATAAGTCGAGTATGTAGATCATAGTTTACCTCAGTCATAAGTCGAGTATGTAGATCATAGTTTACCTCGGTTATAAGTCGAGTATGTAGATCATAGTTTACCTCGGTTATAAGTCGAGTATGTAGATCATAGTTTACCTTGGTTAAAAGTCGAGTATGTAGATCATAGTTTACCTTGGTTATAAGTCGAGTATGTAGATCATAGTTTACCTTGGTTATAAGTCGAGTATGTACCGTAAGCTCCCGGATATAAGACCCCCCGGAATACAAGACCACCGGGTCTGTAATACGGGGGTGGGTCTTATATTTTGGCAGGTTTTCACTATACCCCCCCCTAGAGGGGTAAACATTACAAGACCCCCCCTGAACTTGTGCACTAGTGTATTTAAAGGCATTTTGATGCATTTTCATGTGTTTTTTTATAATGATAAGGGTGTGAACACAGATTCAGGCCTACTAATCCCACACTGGGTTGACTGTTCATGAAAACAGTAGCAATATGGGAAAAAAAAACAGCCAGATTTCAATGTTATGGGCACAGCCAGATTTCAATTCGGAGGTCACAACCAGATTTCATTGTGATGTACCTATATCGCGAATACTCACATCCGCGGACCTATCGAGGATAAAAACAAAATAGCAAGCATCCAGATCAATGAGGCATTTGAATACACATTTAAAATACACGTCCATATCAAAAGACCCGGGTACTGTACAATCTTTACCCTTTAACAAGATCCCCCCCATTTTTTTTATGAATTTTACATAAGACCCTAGGGTCTTATATCCGGGAGCTTACGGTAGATCATAGTTTACCTTGGTTATAAGTCGAGTATGTAGATCATAGTTTACCTCGGTTATAAGTCAAGTATGTAGATCATAGTTTACCTTGGTTATAAGTCGAGTATGTAGATCATAGTTTACCTCGGTTATAAGTCAAGTATGTAGATCATAGTTTACCTCGGTTATAAGTCGAGTATGTAGATCATAGTTTACCTCGGTTATAAGTCGAGTATGTAGATCATAGTTTACCTTCGTTATAAGTCGAGTATGTAGATCATAGCTTACCTTGGTTATAATAAGCGTCTCTTGTAAGTGACACAGAACTTCTGCATTCGTTCTTCTTAAGAGTCACACATACAGCTCAATCGTGCTTCGACTCACTCACTGCTCACTCGTTCTCCCTCTCTTCCTCACCCCTTCCCCTTCCATTCTTTCATTTTCAACCCCTTGTCTCCCTTGCAGCTTACCCTCCCCCGTCTCCTCCTCCTCCCTCTCCTCCTCCTCCCCCTCCTCCTCCTCCCTCTCCTCCTCCTCCCTCCCCTCCTCCACCTCCCCCCCTCCTTTCGCCGCCACCACCTTCACCCCCACCCCAATCCCCACCACCACCCGCACCGCCACCCCTACTGCCACCTTCCGCATGTATGTATGAATGAGAGAAACGTACCTTTTGATTTGACAACAGGTATACTGTGATGGGCCTGCTAATAACAGGTATGAGAGCAATGGATCTGCAAGGAAAAAGGTATGTACAGGTGCACACAACATGGTTCTTGGCGGTTCTTAAGAGCCTAACGGGTATGTGTGTGTGCAAGAGGGCAGGAGGGCAAGAGGACAATGGGTCTGTGCCCATATTGCTGCCCGCACAATGCCTCCCGCACAATGCAGAATGCACAATGCCGCCCGCACAATCCTGCCCGCGCAATGCCGCCCGCACAATGCCGCCTGCACACTGCCGCCCGCACACTGCCACCACCATCCAGGGTACTTAAAGAAATTCTTGGAAGAGCAATTGACATGCTAGGGCTTGTTAGGTATGGGTCCAACCCTCCAATGGGTAACAAATCGGCTGCTCAATCAAAGCTGCGGATGTATACATATTATATACAGTGTTCTTCACGCAAGAACAAAAGAAATGGATTGTAACCCTCCAATAGGGTTAGGTGTGGGTGCAGCCGTTTACTTCACCCAAGATATGTGTCATGCATGCCTAGTTTGTGTATTGACGCTCTCTCTCTTGGGCAATCTGGTTCACCCAAGTTTGAACCTGTTTGTGCAAGACCTTGTTCTTTGAGAAATTTCAAGAACCAACAATTCTTGCAAGCAGCCGACACCTTGTTCACCAGAGTTTCGCTGTTCACCTCTGTTTTTGAGTCGACTCAAAGCAGAGTCTCGCTGTTCACCTCTGCTTTTGAGTCGACTCAAAGCAGAGTCTCGCTGTTCACCTCTGTTTTTGAGTCGACTCAAAGCAGAGTCTCGCTGTTCACCTCTGCTTTTGAGTCGACTCAAAAGCAGAGTCTCGCTGTTCACCTCTGCTTTTGAGTCGACTCAAAGCAGAGTCTCGCTGTTCACCTCTGTTTTTGAGTCGACTCAAAGCAGAGTCTCGCTGTTCACCTCTGCTTTTGAGTCGACTCAAAGCAGAGTCTCGCTGTTCACCTCTGTTTTTGAGTCGACTCAAAGCAGAGTCTCGCTGTTCACCTCTGCTTTTGAGTCGAATCAAAGCAGAGTCTCGCTGTTCACCTCTGCTTTTGAGTCGACTCAAAGCAGAGTCTCGCTGTTCACCTCTGTTTTTGAGTCGACTCAAAGCAGAGTCTCGCTGTTCACCTCTGCTTTTGAGTCGACTCAAAGCAGAGTCTCGCTGTTCACCTCTGTTTTTGAGTCGACTCAAAGCAGAGTCTCGCTGTTCACCTCTGCTTTTGAGTCGACTCAAAGCAGAGTCTCGCTGTTCACCTCTGTTTTTGAGTCGACTCAAAGCAGAGTCTCGCTGTTCACCTCTGCTTTTGAGTCGACTCAATGCAGAGTCTCGCTGTTCACCTCTGCTTTTGAGTCGACTCAAAGCAGAGTCTCGCTGTTCACCTCTGTTTTTGAGTCGACTCAAAGCAGAGTCTCGCTGTTCACCTCTGCTTTTGAGTCGACTCAAAGCAGAGTCTCGCTGTTCACCTCTGCTTTTGAGTCGACTCAAAGCAGAGTCTCGCTGTTCACCTCTGTTTTTGAGTCGACTCAAAGCAGAGTCTCGCTGTTCACCTCTGTTTTTGAGTCGACCCAAAGCAGAGTCTCGCTGTTCACCTCTGCTTTTGAGTCGACTCAAAGCAGAGTCTCGCTGTTCACCTCTGCTTTTGAGTCGACTCAAAGCAGAGTTTCACTGACCTCTGTTCGCAGCTTGTGTTTTGAGTCGACTCAAAACACGACTCATTGTTCGCGACTCATCATGCATGTTACTGTTCACCGTGTTTCACTGTTCGTCGTGTTTTGCTGTTCATCTTGTTTCACTGTTCACCATGTTTTGCTGCTCATCTAGTTTCACTGTTCATTTTGTTTTGTTGCTCTCGTGACTTCCCTGCTTCGCTGATTGTTTCCATGTTTCACTGATTGCTAAATTTAATCCCCCTCCCCTTACTCATGCCTTAATTATTTCTCCTTCCTCATGCATCCATGCATTATCCTCTGAATCATCTTTCCCCATGCACCTACCATTTCCTCTTCACTTCATCCCACCCAATCCCTGTCTTCTGTCTCTCTTCCCTATTCCCCTAATCCCATCTGTTTCACCTCAACAGCACAAGAGCCCGCTCTAGCACCTCTTCTGCCTCCTCCTCCCTCTCCCCCTCCCTCGCCTCCTCCCTCTCCCCCTCCCTCATCTCCTCCCACTCCCCCTCCCTCACCTCCGTTACCCCCTCCCGCACCCCCTCCTCCCAACCCTCCGCCCCCTCCCCGGCCCCCTAGCCTCATCTCCCGCCGCTCACCAGCTCCTCCTCCCAAACCTCGTAAGTTGCCAGACCTCGTAAGTTCCCAGACCTCGTAAGTTGCCAGACCTCGTAAGTTGCCAGACCTCGTAAGTTGCCAGACCTCGTAAGTTCCCAGACCTCGTAAGTTGCCAGACCTCGTAAGTTGCCAGACCTCGTAAGTTGCCAGACCTCGTAAGTTCCCAGACCTCGTAAGTTGCCAGACCTCGTAAGTTCCCAGACCTCGTAAGTTGCCAGACCTCGTAAGTTCCCAGACCTCGTAAGTTGCCAGACCTCGTAAGTTCCCAGACCGCAAGTATGTAAACCTCGTAAGTTGCTCATTCCAGGTTGTACCTCAGAGTCAGAAAGTTGGTTTGTCAGGTAATTTCATGTATATTTTCTGTGCATCGTCAAGATTCGGTAAATATCCTTTGAATCGTATGACTTTGACGCAAGAATATATGTATATATATACATATGTATACATATATACATATATACATATATGTATCTATGTATATATTCTGGTGGTGCTAATGACGTAATCGTTGTGGTGTTAATTTTGTTTTCTTTTGTCTAAAGTTGCTGTTTCCATTCCCTCTGTTCCATTTTCCCCTCCTCCACAGCACTCCCACCACCACCATCCCCACCATCACCGTCACCACCCCCACCATCCCCACCATCACCATCACCACCCCCACCGTCCCCACCACCACCATCACCACCCCCACCATCCCCACCATCACCATCACCACCACCACCATCCCCACCCCCACCATCCCCACCATCACCATCACCATCACCACCCCCACCATCCCCACCACCACCATCACCACCCCCACCACCACTATCCCCACCACCACCATCATCACCCCCACCATCCCCACCACCATCCCCACCACCACCACCATCCCCACCACCACCATCCCCACCACCACCACCACCATCCCCACCATCCCCACCACCATCCCCACCATCCCCACCATCCCCACCATCCCCACCACCATCCCCACCATCCCCACCATCCCCACCACCACCAGACACCTCACCGCCTCCTATTGCTTCAAGCCCCGCTGCTTCACCACCAACAGCAGCAGCAACACCAACACCAACACCAACAGCAGCAGCACCAACAGCAGCCAGTGCTTAAGGCTGAGGCAACCCCAGCAGAGTCACCATCCTAAACCCCAAACCTCCATTTCCAACCCCCCTAAGCCCTAATCCGTAACTAAACCTTATATCTTATACCTGTAACCCCAATTCCTAAACCCTGGAACCTTAAGTCCGAAACCCTTGAATCTTTTTTTCTAAACCCTCGAACCCTAATTCCTACACCCTTGAGCACTAATTTTCAAACCTTCGAACCTTAAATCCCTAACCCTTGAGGCCTAATTGCTAAACCTTGAGCTTTACTGGCAATCCCAGCCCAACCACCATTATCATCAGAATTACTATCATCATCACACCATCGCCATCAACACTAGCAGCATCACATGCAACAGCACCACCATGACCACTGCCGTCAGCTTTTAAGGCCAATACTAGCAGCCCTCAGGATACTACGATGCATATACACGACACAATTTTAAAAATTTATAACTATTGTGTAATAATGTACATAAGTTGCAGGGAGGCAACAGGATCCCTGACAGAGGGCAAACAAGGCCTGTCGAGGACAGGACAGGTACTTCTAAAAACTATGGATTGATTCGCATACAAGATGTGTATTGTACTAGTGCATTATTGCCCCTCGTGATAGTTTCGGAAATGATTTTCACGGCTACTGGTAGTGAAATACCGTTTTAATGATAACAACTCGGTGCAGCCAAAACAAGGTATTTGAGATACCAGTACGAGAACATGACATGGGTGAGGGAAGGTACGGTAGTGAAAGCATCACTGAAATTACTGCGCATTATCTCCCAAGCGTAACAAGACGAGTGCCACTGAAGCACCCACGAGATTCGGCAGCCACCCACCCAGCAGCGGACTGATCACGTGCAGCTGCAAGGAGAGTCAAGCACAGCACAAAGAGTAGAGAAGAATGCAATTGTTGAAAGGCTCGGTCTAACTACTCTGCATTATCTCCCAAGCGGAACAAGACTGGCGCCAGTGATGCACCCACGAGATTTGGCAGACATCCACCCAGCAGTGGACTGATCACGTGCAGCTGGACAGAGAGACAAGTGCAGCAAGAAGAGTGGAAAAAAAAAAAAAAAATGGGGCCAACTAAGAAACAAACACCCAGCGGCGGACTGACTGGTCGTGCGAAGCTGTACTGAGAGTCAAGTGGGACGAAGAGTGGGAAACACTTTTTTTATTCGCCTCAAATTAGGCACCCAGCAGAGGACTGCCTGACTGATCACGTGCAGCTGAAAGGAGAGTCGAGTGCAGCAGAAAGAGTGGAAAACAGATTCTGGTGCGCCTAAGGATCAAATCACCCAGCAGCGGACTGATCACGTGCAGCTGAATGGAGAGTCCAGGGAAGCACAAAGAGTAGAAAACAACTCTTAGGGTGACTAAGAAACAAACACCCAGTAGCGGACAGAGTGATCACGTGCAGCTGGACAGAGAGTCAATGGCAGCATGAAGAGTGGAAAAAACACTTTGATTTTATTTTAAAAATAAACGCCCAGCAGCACACTGGCTTATGCTGCCGAAAGGAGAGTCCAGAACAGCAGGCAACAATACAGCTTCCATTCCTTATTTTTTTACCAAGAAAACAACACCTCAATCACACAAGACAGTAAGAAATTGAATGCAAGAGCGAGTAGTGGATGAAGAAGGAAGTGGAAGAGGGAAAAACAAAGATCAGCATACCTAGAAGTGGAAGAAGAGACGAAGGGTTAAATTAGAGAAGTTTAAGAAAATCTAGTGTACCTGGGAAAGAAGGATGTCGGTGACAACGAGAGAATAGTATATTTTTGAGGCGCCTCCAAAGTAGGTGCCTCAAAAGTAGGTGCCTCAAAAGTAGGCGCCTCAAAACTAAATCTACTGTACCTGGGCAAGAAGGACGCCGGTGACAGAGAGAGAGTAGTAGGTGAATATGACAAACACCGCAAGAGCGAAGCCAACCTGCATGGGAGGAATGGCAGGGGGGAGAGGGAAGCAGGGGAGGACAGTGACCTGGGCGAACAGCACACCAGTGACGGAGAGAGAGCAGTAGGCGAATATGACAAAGACTGCCAGAGCGAAGCCAACCTGCATGGGAGGGGTGATTGGGGTTGAAAGGGGAAGCACGGGAGGATAATGAACAGGGCGAGCATGCCGGTGAGGGAAAGAGAGAGAGCAGTAGGTGAAGATGAGAAGGACAGCGAGGGCGCAGCCATTTTGAATGGAAGGGGTGATTGGGGAAGGAGGGAACGAGGGGGGATTTTATGGCACACTGCATATAGCATCAGGAAAGAAGGATGCCGGTGAGGGAGAGAGCAGTAAGCCAATCTGCACAGATGGGTGATTTGAAAAGGGAAGAAACTTATGAGGTGCCTTGAAGGCCAGAGCGAAGCCAGCCTGCATGGGTGTGATAGATGCAGGAAGGAAGGAGCGAGAGAGGCAGGCAATGCACATCTCTACCTCACCACCATGGGGTTTGATCCGTCGTCCTAGAACCATTCAAGTCAAGTTGATGGAAATAAAGCCTCCGCAGCCCACCTGTCCGCTACTGACAGCAGCGCGCATCTCTACCTCGCCATTAAACTACTTAGAAATTATGGGGCACCGCGCATAGCACCAGGCTAGTAAAACACGCCCTCATGGTTTAAGGTTTGGGGCTCCCTACTTCATACTTTCTCACCTGCCGCTTTCTGATCTGCAGCTGGGCGGCGAAGAGAGCTCCAAGGATGGCAAAGAGGAAGGTGGCGCACGGCAGAGCCACCCGTTGGTGAATCTTCACCTGCAAATGGGAATGGTGCAGGGTATATTACTCCTGACAAGTGCAGACAGAGGGGGCTTAGGAGGGCAAAGAGGAAGGAGGCACATGGCAGGGCCACCCGTTGGTGAATCTTCACCTGCAGGTGGGTGGGCATGCGCAGGGTAAATTACTCTTGAAAAGTGCAGAGGGCCAAAGAGGGCGAAGAGGAAGGTGGCACATGGCAGGGCCACCCACTGGTGTATCTTCACCTGGCATTGGGTGGGCATGGTGCAGGGTAAATTGCTCTTGAAAGAATGAAGTACTATGGGAAGGAGACTGGAAAACCACTATGTACATTTATAGAGGGGGTTATTCCATATAAAGGAGTATCTCGGGAATTTAACATGTGCGAGCATCTGAGAGGACTGTTGGAACAGAGACGGGTTACGTATCAAGGCACCATCTCACTCCCATACCGTCCCCATACCGCTCTCTTGGACCTACCTTGTGTCCACAGGGCCTACAACCAGAATACTCACTGTTGCACAGTCACCATCCACAACAACTCTCCACCCAGCCACAGTCGCCTATACTGGAGAGTATCAACCCACCAGAATGAGACTGGAGAGTATCAACCCACCAATTGGTTCGTTGTCTTTTGAGGCGCCTCAAAATACACCTCAATGACTGGTGCTTCTACCATGCCCACCAATTGGTTCGTGTGAGAACAGTTGAAGAAGAACCGATAGTTTGATTAGAAAGCATGGGGGTATACATAGTAGTGCTAGGATGGGTGGTTTGGTTGGGAACCTAGCCAACATTATTGGCCCCCACCAATAAGTTGGGTTGAGGGATTATTGGGGGGACCAATAATGTTGACCAAGTGGTTCAACATTATTGGGGGGACCAATAATTCCTAACCCAACCTTGGAGGCCAAGGTTTGAGTTCCAACCCCCAACAAGGGTTAGCTCTAGTTCTACACACAAACAAAGTTTGGGTGTCTATCTCTAACCTAAGCTTATAGGATTGATGTAGGTTACAATGAGGATGGTAATCTAACACCCTTAACCTACAGAAATCCATAAGCTTTGGGAAGAGAGAGAGCAACAACCCCTGAATCAGCCACCGCGGGGAGCAAGTCCCTGGAGGCGCAGAAGCGCAGAGTGGTCAGAGCGGTGTAGAGCCTTGGTGAAGAGATCGGCAAGGTTGTCGGAGGAGACGATTTTTCGAACGGTGATGTGACCATCTTGGACAAGGTCGCGAACAAAGTAGTAGCGAAGCTCAATGTGCTTGGAGTGACCATGAAAGACTGCTTCCTTGGTGAGGTGGATGGTACTGTCGTTGTCACACCACAGGGTGGGGCAAGGCTGTGGGGACCCAAGGTCGGTGAGCAGATAGCTGAGCCAACGTGCCTCTTGAGCCGCCATCGTGACCGCGTATAGCTCGGCTTCGCAATATGAGAGGGCAACGGAGGAGGAGCGGGTGGAGCGCCAGCTGATGAGGCCGCCCCCGAGTGTGAAGCCATATCCTTGGGAGCTGCGACGGTCGGCCTGTGCGTCGGCCCAAGATGAGTCGCTGAAGCCTTGAAAAATGGGATGGTTCACTCCACCAAGAGTGAGGACATGGTCCTTTGTGCCCTGAAGGTAACGAAGAACACGCATGGCCGTCTTCCAATGCTCTTCACCATGCCTGCCGGTGCCAACGAACTGCGCCAGAACACTGACTGGGTATGCAAGGTCGGGACGAGGGCGGACCATGGCGTACATCAGGGCCCCAACAAGTTCTGCATAGGGATGAGGGGAGGTGATGGGAGTGGTGGGAGGGGAGAGCCGATGCCTGAATGCAAGTGGTGTGGGGATGGGTTTGCAGGTTTTCATGCCAAACCTCTCAAGAATCTTCTCGATGTAAAAAGACAGAGAGAGAGTGATGGTCTTGGCAGTGAGGTCGCAGGTGATCTCCATGCCGAGGTAGTTGCGGACTTCCCCCAGGTCTTTGCAGGCGAGGCGTTTCTGCAGCTCATCCTTGACCACCTGGAGTTCAGCAGCTGTGTCAGCGGCCAGCAGCATGTCGTCAACGTAGACGAGGATGTAGAAGGGTGATGGGGTGAGGCGTAGGAAGAGGCAGGAGGCGGCACGGGAGGGGCGAAAGCCAAGTGTGCGAAGGGTGGAGGAGATTTTGGCGTGCCATTCCCGAGGTGCTTGTTTGAGCCCGTAGACAGGGCGTAGCAGCTTCCAAACCGTGGTAGGGTCGTGAGGAGCGTGGAAGCCTTTGTGACGTTCCAAGAAAATGAGCTCATGAAGGTCGCCTTGCAGAAAGGCGGTGGTGACGTCCATGGAGTGAAGAATCATCCCGCGTCTGCCAACAAAGTCCAAGAACACGCGAATGACCGGTGGAGTGGCGGTGGGTGAGTAGGTCTCGAAGAAGTCTGAGCCATAGGTCTGTGTGAAGCCTTTTGCCACATATCGAGCCTTGTAGATCGGAGCGTTGCCAGGGAGTAGTTTTACTCGGAAAAACCACCTGCCTTTAACCACGTTGTGCCTAGACGGACGAGGAACGTCGAGAAACGAGCGGTTGCTGATGAAGGCGTTGCTCTCCTTGACCATGGCCTCGATCCAGAGAGGTGCATCAAGACAGGCAAGTGCTTGCTCATAGGTGGTGGGTTCGTAGATGGTGGGGGTGGTGGAGAAGAGAATGACAGTAGTGCCAGCCATTGTGCGGACGACGGGGGCGATGGTAGGTGAGAGGAGGTGGAGGAAAAGAAGCTCATCGTGAGAGTCTTCAGAGAGGTCTGGAGTGAGAGGAGGAGGAAGAGGAGGCGGTGGAGTTGCAAGACAGCTGCGCTGGAGGGTCGGGCCGATGCGAGGACACAGCTGCACTGGTGCTCTCCTGCGTTGAGGGTCGGGGCGGGGAGACAGCTGCATTGCAGCTCGGCTTCGCTGAGTTGCCGTGAGGGGCAGGGAGACGGGAGCGCGACTGCTGAGAGAACCTGAGGTGCTGGTGCGGGGGGGAGGGGAGGTGCTATGGTGGCGGAGAAGGGGGACGGATGTGAGAGAATGGAGGGAGGGGGGGGTGGACCTTGGGGTACCAAGAATGGGGACCGTGGAGCGGGTGTGAGGGTAGTGGCGGAGTATGAGAGGGGGAGTGGGAAGGAGGGGCCGGGAGGATGGAGGTGGAGTGAGTGGGGGAGGTTGTGGGGAGGGGGGAGGTGGGGGATGGGGAGGGGCATGGGGAGGGGGAGGGGCAGCGGGTGGGGAGGGATGGGGAGGGGCAGGGGGAGGGGGAGGGGCAGCGGGTGGGGAGGGAGGGTGGACGGGGTCAAGGATGTCTCCTGACGAGGCGGGGGGAGAGGGGGGAGGTGGTGGGGGTGCAGGGGGGACAATGGTGGGGGGGGGGAAGAAGGGAAGGGGAGGGGAGAGAGGGTGGGGGGGGAATGGTGTCAGTCCAGAGGAGGGGACGGGTGGTTAGAGGGAGGGGGTTAGGGACTTTGGGGGAGGTGTAGTACGGGTGGGCTTCATCGAATTCCACATCCCGACTACGAAGGAGGTGACCTGAGGGGGGGTGGAGGAAGAGATAGTCCGGGGAGGAGGTGTTGTGACCAAGGAAAATGCAGGGGAGAGTGCGGGAGGCTAGCTTCCCAGCTTTGCGTGAGCGATCAGCAAGGTGTATGAGAACATACGCCTTGGACCCCCACACACGCAGGGGGGTGATGTCGGGCTTTTTGGATGTCCAGAGTGCGGTGGGAGTGGTGGTGGGCCGGGAGGGATGAGGGTACAAGTTAGTGAGGATGGCAGCGTGGAGGATGGCATAGCCCCAGAGAGAGGGCGGGCAGGAGACATGGACCACGAGGCACCGAGCAGTCTTGGTGACCTCACGGACCCTGCTTTCTGCCACGCCATTCTGCTGAGGGGAGTGAGGTAGGGTGTAGGTGTGAATAATGCCACGAGTGGTGCAGTAGGATGAGAGTATGTTGTTAAGGAAATCACCACCGCCATCAGAGTGAAAACGGGAGACAGGGCGTTTGAAATGGGTGCGTGCTTGTTCATCCCAGGCAATAATAGCAGCCGGGGCCTCCGCCTTCGTGCGAAGGAGGGAGACGGAGGAGTAGCGGCTATGGTCATCCACCAGGATGAGCAGGTATTTATGACCTTGCGTGGTGGGGGAAGGGTTGGGGCCCCAGAGGTCGATGTGGACGAGATCAAGAGGCTGGGGAGAAAAGGAGGGATGACTTTTGTGGGGGGCCTGTTTCAGTTTGCTTTCAACGCATACTGAGCAGGGAGGGGAGGGTGATGGGGGGAGAGGGGGAAGGGTGAGGGGGAGTCCGTCGAGGAGTTGGGTGGAGACAGTTTGACGGAGGGTGGCAAAGTTGGGATGACCCAACCTATGGTGAAGGAGAACTGCGGGGTGGGTGAGGTCACGACAGTGACAGGAGGAGGCGGGGGAGGGAGGGGGGGGGGGGGAAGGAGGGGAGGGGAGGGGGGGGGGAGGGGATGGGAGGAGGGGAGGGAGGGTGGAGGGGAGGTGAGGGGAGGGGGAGGGGTGAGGTGGGGATAGGAGGAGGGGAGGGAAGGGGGAGGGGTGAGGTGGGGGCGATGAGGTTGTGAATGGAGGTGCGAGGGGTGCGGTACGTGTACATGTTTGTGTGAGGGCAGAGGGGAATGCGACAGATGAAGCGGTCAGTGGAGGTGAGAAAGAGGTCGCAGTGACGTGCATGACCAGGGAAGAAGGCGGTGATACCGAACCTGGTGAGGTCACAAAGTGCTACCAGATTGTTGCGTAGGGAGGGGATGTATAGACCGGTGACTGTGCCTGAGGGGAAGATGGGACAGGGGAGGGTGGAGGTGTGTCGACTTGTGATGGTGAAGCTGGAGTCAGCTCCATGGATAGTGGAGGGAGTGGGGAGAGGTACCAGTGTGCCTGCATCCCGAAGGACCGTGTGTGTAGCTCCACTGTCAAGGATAAACTCAAGGCATGCGGAGGAGGAGGAAAAGGCGGAATACTGGAAGAGGGACTCATTAATAGCATGGGCATACAGAGAATCAGCAGGAGCAGTGCTAACATGTCTTATGAATCCAGCAGAGGGGAACGGAGTAAAGCCAGGAGGGTTCCTGGAGGAGGAGGGCTGTTCAGCAGCATTAGCAGCAGATGCCCGGGGTCCATAGCCATATCCAGCATAGGGAGGGTAAGGCCAGCCAGCATAGGGTGGGGGGTAGTGAGTGGGAGGGGCTTGAGGCGGAGGTGTGGGTGGAGGAGTGGGAGTGGTGGGAGTTGGGGTGGATGAGGGGAGAAGATGCTGAACTTGCTGAAGGATGTGAGATGGGAGATGCTGAGTGAGGACATTGTGGAGGTTAGGAGTAAAGGGTTGATAGGGGGGGAGAGTGTGAATGTCATGGAGGGAGGGGCGTGGGAAGACAGTGTTCCAGCGAGGTGGAGTGCCAACGTTGCCACGTGCGAACCACTCGTCAGTGAGGGCTTTGAAGCACGTGTCAGTGGTATGAGTGGTCTGAGAGCATGGCTGACCTTTGTTGGAGCCATAGCGGATGATGTACTGACACGGGGGAAGGGTGCCTGAAGGTGAGGTGTATCCGCCACGTCCGCCACGGCCACCACCGCGTCCACCACTGCGTCCTCCTCCTCTTCGTCCTCCACCACGTCCACCTCCACCACTGTCAGTACCGCCATGGCCACCACCTCCGCCGCTGTTCTGGTTGCCCGTGGGGGCTTTGCGAGTCTGAACTGCGTTGATAGTGGTGGATTCACGTTGGAGGTCAGCTTCGCTGTCAAGTAGCCATTCGATGGTGTCGGTCACAGGAGAAGGGCGACGTTAGCGGGAGGTGAAGGTGATGCGGTATGTGTCATATGTGGGGGGGAGGCAGTCGAGAATGCATGCAGTGAGGAGAGACTCACAGATGACAATGCCCCGATCGTTGAGGCGTTGTGCAGTATCAATGAGGCGGCGGGTGTATGCAGCAGCTGTGGGAGAGGAGTCAAGAGTGGTGTCTTGGAATTTGCGAAAGAGGGCAAGGAGGGAGCGAAGATCCTGACGATCATACTGAGTAGAGAGAGTTTTCCAGAGGCTAGAGGAGGAGGTGGGTCGGAGGTCGCGTTTGAGGTGTGGGGGAATGCAGGAGAAGATAATGGCGAGAGCGCGTCGATCCGCAACACGCCATCCTGCGACATCCTTGTGAAGTTTGCGCAGCTCCTCAGCATGATCCCTCTCATCTTTTTCGTACTGGAGGATGCGCTCAGTGGCGACAGCATGGGCTTCCTCAGCAACACGGTATGCTTCATGCTGGATGGTGTAGGTGTCACATAGTTTGTTGTAGTTGTTCAAGTTGTCCGCCCAGCGGTCCGGGTTATCATCATGAACTGGAGCATGGGGGGCGGGGTCAATAGGTTCTGGACGTGGAGGGGCTTCGGGGGGGGGGGGGGGGGGGGGGATCAAGAGGAGGAGGGAGAACGGGTGGAAGGCCGTTAGTAGTTTCAAGGACTATGTCAAGCAGACAGTAGTCTTAGATGATGACAGAACCAAGGTGGGTGTGAAGGGTATCCTCAAATGACGCCCAATTCACAGCCGTCGTGTCATGCAGGGGCTCGATCTTGTCGATAGCTCCGAGCTCAAAGGGAGTAGAGTCGTCCGCCATGAGGAGGAGGGGGGGGGGGGGGGAGGGGGTGACGACACCGGCTTGAGGGCGGGTGCGGTCAAAGAGGGGAGGGGGGAGGGACGACACCTCCTGGAGAGGTGGTGCGGTCAAGTTGCGCGCGGTTGAACCGTGGTACCCGCGGCTGCGCCTTGTCACGCGGGGCTGCGCCTTGTCGCCCGCGGCTATGCCTTGGCACCCGCGGCTGCGCCTTGTCGCCCGCGGCTGCGCCGTCCGTCCGCGGCTGCGCCTTGTCGCCCGCGGTTGCGCCTCGTCGCCCGCGGCTGCGCCGTCCGTTCGCGGCTGCGCCTTGTCGCCCGCGGCTGCGCCGTCCGTCCGCGGCTGCGCCTTGTCGCCCGCGGCTGCGCCTTGTCGCCCGCGGGTGCGCCTCGTCGCCCGCGGCTGCGCCTTGTTGCGTAGCCCACGGATGCGCTTGGTCGCGTCGCCCACGGAGGCGCCGATCGCGTCGCCCGCGGAAGCGCTGGTCGTGTCGCCCGCGAATGCGCCGATCGCGTCGCCCAAGGCTGCACCGGTCGCGTCGCCCGCGGGTGCGCCGGTCGCGTCGTCCGCGGATGCACCGGTCGCGTCACCCGCGGATGCATTGGTCGCGTCGTCCGCGGATACGCCGGTCGCTTCCCCCGCGGATGCGCTGGTCGCTTCGCCCGCGGATGCGCCGGTTGCTTCGCCCGCGGATGCGCCGGTCGCGTCGCCCGCAGATGCGCCGGTCGCTTCGCCCGCGGATGCGTTGGTCGCGTCGCCCAAGGCTGCACCGGTCGCGTCGCCCGCGGATGCACTGGTCGCGTCGTCCGCGGATGCACCGGTCGCGTCGTCCGCGGATGCACCGGTCGCGTCGCCCGCGGATGCGTTGGTCGCGTTGCCCGCGGATGCGTCGGTCGCGTCGCCCGCGGATGCGCCGGTCGCTTCGCCCGTGGATGCGCCGGTCGCGTTTTAGGTCTTGGCGGGGAGTTTTTAGGTCACAACGATCGTGATGGTCGTCGTGGTCAGGGAAGAGGGGGGAGGGGGGCCGTAAGAGGCAATTCTGACCATGAAAACGAAAGGGAGAGATGCTGAAATGTAGTGTAGGGGGAGGGGGGACGTGAAGGCGTAAGAGCGCACTAGGCGCTAAGAACGACTTAGTTGTCGTGTGAGAGATATGGGCGTGATTCGGCACGCGGAGGTGTGGTTTCTAGGATCAAAGAAGGTATTAGCCGTTTGGCTCTGATTATCATGTGAGAACAGTTGAAGAACCGATAGTTTGTAGAAAGCATGGGGGCATACATAGTAGTGCTAGGATGGGTGGTTTGGTTGGGAACCTAGCCAACATTATTGGCCCCCACCAATAAGTTGGGTTGAGGGATTATTGGGGGGACCAATAATGTTGACCAAGTGGTTCAACATTATTGGGGGAACCAATAATTCCCAACCCAACCTTGAGGGCCAAGGTTTGAGTTCCAACCCCCAACTAGGGTTAGCCCTAGTTCTACACCCAAACTAAGTTTGGGTGTCTATCTCACCACACCCCACCCACCAGTATTCTTGTGGCGTCCCGCTCATAACAGCAGCAGCAGTACAGCTGCTGCAGCCGCATCACCTGCGGGCCACCATACCCACCCACCAGTATTCTTGTTGCCTCCCGGTCGTTACAGCAGCGCCGGTACAGCTGCTGCAGCCGCACCACCTGCAGCAGAGATCGGTGTGTGCCCTGAGCCGTACTCACCAACAGTTTCTGCAGCCACACCACACCCACCACACCCCACCCACCAGTATTCTTGTGGCGTCCCGCTCATAACAGCAGCAGCAGTACAGCTGCTGCAGCCGCATCACCTGCGGGCCACCATACCCACCCACCAGTATTCTTGTTGCCTCCCGGTCGTTACAGCAGCGCCGGTACAGCTGCTGCAGCCGCACCACCTGCAGCAGAGGCATGTCGTCCAAACTGCGACTGCCGTCCGCCTCTGCCAGATCCAGAGGTCCGCGATCGAGGGTAAACTCCCCTGCGAGAAGAAGAGCAAATAGAACATGGGCGAGAGCGAATGGGCGGAGAGAACCGTGAGTTGGTGCCATGAACTCATGCACCCATGCACCCATGCACCCATGCACCCATGCACTCATGCACCCATGCACCCATGCACCCATGCACCCATGCACCCATGCACCCATGCACCCATGCACCCATGCACCCATGCACCCATGCACCCATGCACCCATGCACCCATGCACCCATGCACTCATGCACCCATGCACCCATGCACCCATGCACCCATGCACCCATGGACCCATGCACCCATGCACCCATGCACCCATGCACCCATGCACCCATGCACCCATGCACCCATGCACCCATGCACCCATGCACCCATGCACCCATGCACCCATGCACCCATGCACCCATGCACCCATGCACTCATGCACCCATGCACCCATGCACCCATGCACCCATGCACCCATGCACCCATGCACTCATGCACCCATGCACCCATGCACCCATGCACCCATGCACGCATCCAACCATGCACCCATGCACTCATGCACCCATGCACTCATGCACCCATGCACCCATGAACACATGCACCCATGCACCCATGCACCCATGCACTCATGCACCCATGAACCCATGCACCCATGCACTCATGCACCCATGCACTCATGCACTCATGCACCCATGCACTCATACACCCATGCACTCAGGCACCCATGCACCCATGCACTCATGCAGGAGAATGGTTTGGGTGATGGCACCTGCAAGCAATGTTCGGTTGGGGACTGCACCCGCATGCACTGATGGGATTGTCGGACGGCACGGCAGGGTCCGGATCGATCAAATGAGAGACACGGATACCACTTGAGCCGAGCGGGTGAGGGAAACTCACAGTGCTCAGTGAACGGCCGTGCTTCTGCGAGCACCCACGACGATGGCCTGTTTGGCTCAACCTTGCTGCTTCTGGAACCACCCAATTGATCGCAATCATGCTGCTTCTGTGACTGCTGCTGCTGTTGTTGTTGCATCTGGTATTGGTCCCCAGCTAGTAGAGCTGTTTGCGAGCTTTGTGCCACTTGTGACACGCTCGTTGCTGCCGGCACACATGTTGCTGCTGCGACGGGTCTTTCAGCTGCTTCAAGCTGCCCTCTCTTTCCCTCTCCTTGCTGCTGCTTCCGCCCAACCTCTTGCCTACTCTTGAATTTTCTCTCCCCCTGCTGCAATCTGCCCCTGCCCTTGTTCCCAAGCTTCCCACCATGCGCCCTTCCCACGCCACCCCTGCCTCGCTGCTGCCTCTTGCTCCCCTGCTGCCCTCTACCGTCCCCACCCCTCCCCACGTTCCCCCTCTCTGTATTCCCGGTCGCTGCTCCTTGTGTACTCTGTTGTTGCTCATGCGAATCCGCTTGCCTTTGAGCATTCGCATGCCCTTGAGCATTCGCATGCCCTTGCATCCGCACATGCGTGGGTGTTAGTGATGCGAGTGGCATGTGAAACTGCTCTCCAGTCAGCGCATTGTGAACGGCAGATGAGGGGAGGTGCAAGGCAGATGAGGAAACAAGCACATGTTCTATGCCATTAACAAAATACCAGTGACCTGGCCGGTAAGACAGTGCCTGATCGTGCTTATAAGGAGTATGGCTGGTCGTTAAGAGGCTCAGATTGAGGGTTCTTTGAAGGAAGGAGGAGAAGGGGAAGGGGGAGGAGGGGCGTGAGGAGGGGACCCAAGAAGCACTCTCAGCTGCAATGACCCGAACCACACTGCCAGCATCGGCATGCATGCTTGATGCTGCTGATGTTGCTGCTGATGATGATGTTGATAATGCCAGCGATGGTGATGATGATGTCAATTGTGAGGGCACTGATGCTGACTGTACTGCAGATAGTGACGATGATGGCGGTGGTACCAGTGCCTGTAGCGAGGAGGAGATTGGTAGTGAGGCGGGTGGTAGTGAGGCGGGTGGTAGTGAGGCGGGTGGTAGTGAGGCGGGTGGTAGTGAGGCGGGTGGTAGTGAGGCGGGTGGTAGTGAGGCGGGTGGTAGCGCGGCGATAGAGGATGCGGATAAGGGCGACTGCAACGAATGTGATTGTAACGAGGAGGAGGATGACATGTGCTCAGTGTTGGTGTTGGCTCCGCTCAGATCCACGAGTGTGACTTGCTGCATCTCCCCGATTTCACATCGCCTGGCGTAGAAGAGAGAGTGCAGGCTCCCACTCTTGCTGCCATGGCAACCAGCGGGCCACAATCGAAAAAATCAAGAGATGTCTTGGAAGAAGGGAGCACTTCAAAGGGGGATGAGAGAGTGGGGCAAGGGGAAGGGAGTGCATGTGGTGCATGAAGGATGTGTGATACAGCAGCGATTCGTATTTGGAATGGAGCGGGTTTGAATCTACTAGTTTAATTTCCTCCGCACATACTCTCTTGCCTCCAGGGTCAAGTCAGCTCTGCTCTCCCATCCTATCATCTCACCTGAAGCTGGGGAAGACGATGGGATGGCGCATGTTTGCCTTGTGCTGCTGTTGACGCCCTGAAACCTGCACACGTGCATTGGTGATGGTAGCACTACATGTCCGTGGCATAGCTCATATCATATCAAATCAAAGAATGCAGTGCCTAAAAGAATCGCATTCGCTAAAGACCCTAATACAGAGAGCTGATTTTCCCTTTGCCTGTACGCAATGAGTTTCTTCTATCTAAAGTAGACGAGCGCCTCAAAAGTCGCTGGACAACAGGGGCAACAGAGACTGGACAGGGGCAACAGGTACCACAGAGGGAGAGGCTACAGGTGCTACAGGCACTGCACAACAGACGACAGGTGCTCTGGCTTCTAAATGTGCTAGAAAGGGCCAACATACAGAGAGCAGCTGGTGCAGGTGGTGGGGTGAGCGAGCAGAACGCACAGACAGGTGCTAGTGGTGCTAGTGGTAGTAGAAAGGGCCAACATACAGAGAGCAGCCGGTGCAGGTGGTGGGGTGAGCGAGCAGAACGCACAGACAGGTGCTAGTGGTGCTAGTGGTAGTAGAAAGGGCCAACATACAGAGAGCAGCCGGTGCAGGTGGTGGGGTGAGCGAGCAGAACGCACAGGCAGGTGCTAGTGGTGCTAGTGGTAGTAGAAAGGGCCAACATACAGAGAGCAGCCGGTGCAGGTGGTGGGGTGAGCGAGCAGAACGCACAGGCAGGTGCTAGTGGTGCTAGTGGTAGTAGAAAGGGCCAACATACAGAGAGCAGCCGGTGCAGGTGGTGGGGTGAGCGAGCAGAACGCACAGACAGGTGCTAGTGGTGCTAGTGGTAGTAGAAAGGGCCAACATACAGAGAGCAGCCGGTGCAGGTGGTGGGGTGAGCGAGCAGAACGCACAGACAGGTGCTAGTGGTGCTAGTGGTAGTAGAAAGGGCCAACATACAGAGAGCAGCCGGTGCAGGTGGTGGGGTGAGCGAGCAGAACGCACAGACAGGTGCTAGTGTTGCTAGTGGTAGTAGAAAGGGCCAACATACAGAGAGCAGCCGGTGCAGGTGGTGGGGTGAGCGAGCAGAACGCACAGACAGGTGCTAGTGGTGCTAGTGGTAGTAGAAAGGGCCAACATACAGAGAGCAGCCGGTGCAGGTGGTGGGGTGAGCGAGCAGAACGCACAGACAGGTGCTAGTGGTGCTAGTGGTAGTAGAAAGGGCCAACATACAGAGAGCAGCCGGTGCAGGTGGTGGGGTGAGCGAGCAGAACGCACAGACAGGTGCTAGTGTTGCTAGTGGTAGTAGAAAGGGCCAACATACAGAGAGCAGCCGGTGCAGGTGGTGGGGTGAGCGAGCAGAACGCACTGCCCTGACCATGCGAGATGCACGGTGGTTGGTGAAGGGAGCGAGGAGCTGCAGGGGTGATGAGATGAGGGGTGATGAGGGGTCATGAGGAGTGAGGAGTGGTGCGGAGGGGTAAAAAGGAGCAGAAGGGTTTGTCAGGTGCATTGTGAGCAGAGCGCACGGCCCTGACCATGAGAGAGGCGCGGTGGTTGGTGCAAGGAGCTACCGGGGTGATGAGGGGCGATAAGCGGTGATGAGGGGTGAGGAGGGGTGAGGAGGGGTGACAAGGGGCGAAAGGGTTCATCAGATGTATAGTGCAGCAATGCAGCACAGGCAGCGTGGCTATGTGTGAGGAGGTGGAGGAAAGGGAGGAGAATGGTGGTGGGCAGGTGATGAAGGGTGGGAGGGAAATATTGGAGGGGAGGTGATGAGGGTTGGGATGAAAATAGTGGAAGAGGGACATCCAACGCTCAAACTTATCGATGAGAGGTGTGAGGAGGGGTAATGTCTTTACTTCTGAGACGCTATGATGTCTACTGGATGGTGGTGGGTGAAGTGAAGTGAAGGAGGTCAGCAGGTTTTGAGGCGCCTCGACTTTTGAGGCACCTCAAAAGTCTTTACTTCTGAGCTGAGACGCTACGATGTCAACCGGGTGGTGGGTGGGTGAAGTGAAGGAGGTCAGCAGAAGGTAAGGGACGGGACGGGTGCATGCATGGCGGAAGAAGCGTGCATACAGTGCTACATACATACCTCAGCCCAGGCATAGTGCAGCAGAGTGCAGGCGAGGAAGAGATGAGCAGCGACGGTGAGGACGCGGGTCATGCGTATGCCCGATGCGCGGATGGCTGCGGAAAGAGTGGGTGGGAGGGAAGGAGGAAGAAGGGAAAGGGCAGACGGCTGGGATTGAGCCGCGAGTAAATGAACGGTTCATGGGAATGGAAGGCGTCTCTTGGGAACACTGAAACATCGTGTGTACATATGCGGGGTCTTGGTTATGGATGGCCGATGTTTGGATGGCTGCATGCATGGCAGCAGTGTGTGGTGATGGCGGAAGGTCGTAAGGGGGGATGAGCAGTATGGAAGGCAGGAGGTAAGAAGAGAGAGTGAGGAGAGAGGAGGAGAGAGGAGGAGGGTGACATGCAAACGGATGGAGTTCAGGTCATCGCAAGGTGCATGAACATTGCGTGGTTTTGAGAGGTCCCAAAAATGCATGAACATGATTTTTGAGAATTTTCAAAAAACAGACTCAAAAATGCATGAACATTGCGTGGGTGGAAGAGGCAAGGCGAGGGTTGTACCTAAGAGCTCATTGTAGGACGACATGCGTGCTAGGTGCACTCATGTCATTACGCCAAGACAAGGTGCGTAACGGGATTTTCGATTGCAAGACGTATGCAATGCAATCATGCCATAGCAAGGGGCGTGGCCGCGTGGGCGGGTGAGGGCTTTGTACCCACGAGGTCATTCATTGTCCGACCACATGCTATGTATGGCATTTCAGGTACCAAGGTGCGTGACGGGAACAGGACGTGGGGCGGAAAGGGAAAGGCATGGTTGGGCGAGGGGGTTGTACCCACAACCTCATTGTCGGATGACATGCGTGCAAGGCAGAGCAGAGGCGCCAAGAGATGGGGGAGTGAGTGAGTGGGGTGACATTGCAAGGTGTGATTGCGGCGGGGGGAAGAAGGGCGAGGGGGTTGTACCCACAACCTCATTGTCGGATGACATGCGTGCAAGGCAGAGCAGAGGCGCCAACAGCGATGCCATGGGGAGAGTCAACCCCACGTAGAACTGCGATGATGGGGAGGGGAGCGGGGATGAGGGGATGTCCTTTGATCAGCCTCAGAAGTCAGCTCGAGGCAGCGCAGAGCAGAGGCGCCAAGAGCGATGCCATTGGGAGAGTCAACCCCACGTAGAACTGCGGTGCGGTGGGATGGGAAGATGGGGGATGGGGGAGCAGGGAGGGGGGAGGGGCGGGAGGTTGTGGGTGATGGCTTGTATTGAATGAGTGTTGGATTGTATGTAACAAATTAACATGTATGCCAAGTATGTGCAAAGGAAGCAATGAAGGAAGCAAAGTAGAAGCCAATGCAGATCAGTCAAACAGGCTAGGAGAGCTGAGGATAGCCAGGGATAGCCACGTGTAGAAAGTGAAGTTTTGAGAGCTGAGGAAATCGACTGAGACGTCTCAAAACTTCACTTTCTACAAAGTGGAAGCCAATGCAGATCAGTCAAACAGGTTAGGAGAGCTGAGGAAATCGAAAAAGAGGGGAGGGTGGAGGGGGAGGGGAAAGGGAGGGAGAGGTAAGGGAGGGAGGGAAAGGTATAAAAGTGGGCTGGAATGAATGAAGATGAAGGGAAGTGGCGCTCACAGGGGTGCGGAGCAGTGCAATTTGCAGTGCGTGGAAGGCCTTGTGGATCACAGAGGCCAAGGCAATAGACTGAAACACTGATGAGGACCTTTCGAGTCGACTCACGAGTCATCTTGCTTACAGGGGTGCGCAGCAGCACGATCTGCAGTGTGTGGAATGCCTTGTGGATGATGGATGGCAGCGCAGCGGACTGGAAAACTGTCATCGCCTCGGGGGCAGTCGCTGGGAAGGGAAGGAGGTAGGGAAGTGGGGGAGGAGCGGGGGACGGCAGGCATGGTGAAAGCACGATGTGCAGTGTGTAGAAGGCCTTGTGGAGCACTGATGGCAGGGCGGCGGAAAGACTGTCATTGCCTCAGGGGCAGTCGCTGGGAAGGCAGGCGGGGGAGAGGAGAGGAACAGGGGACGGCAGGCATGCATGGGAGCAGCACGATCTGCAGTGTGTGGAAGGCCTCGTGGATGATAAACGGCAGGTCAGCGGACTGAAACACGGCCATTGCCTCAGGGGCAGTAGCTGGGAGGGTAGGCAGGGGAGAGGATAATGTACGGAAGGCCAACGGGGATGAAGAGGGGATGGGGATGCTGAAAGGGCCTCGTGGATGATAAACGGCAGGTCAGCGGACTGAAACACGGCCATTGCCTCATTGGCAGTCGCTGGGAGGGGAAGCGTGGGAGAGGGGGGGTATGTGCGGGGGAATAGGGGAAGGGGAAGCTGGAAAGGGAAACAGGGAGGCTGGGTGCATCAACAAGAGCATCGCAGGGGACTGAAAGACGGGCATAGCTTCATAAGCGGTTGGTAACAACTTCGTAGGTCTTCACCCTATGGAGGGTGCGAGGAGAGCGAACGGTGACAGCCCCAGCAACAGTGGCTCAGCAACGAGCACCTTCATTTCTCATTCCACTACACCCTTCATCCTCCCTATGATTTCACAAGCTCCCTCGACTCTCCTCCTCTCTTCATATGTAGCCTCTCTCCCTGCTCACCTATGGAGAGAGCAAGGAGAGTGAAGGCGGACAGTCCCAGCAGCAGCGGCTGCAGCAGCTCCAGCAGCAAGTATCGATCCAGCACCTTCAACCCCTCCCACCACTGCTGTGCCCATACGGTAACTCTCCTTACAGGCACCCTCGCCATAATCTCCCCCTGCAGAACCATCGCCTCGTCCTGTAACAACCGCCCTTTTCGCACAAGGTTTCGCACAGCAGGCTTTCTGAGAAGCTCCCTTCGCAATTGCCTCTGTTTCCTGGCGAAATTCGCCAGGTGCCACTGCTGCCGATCAACGGCTTGGATTTGAAGCCTCGCAGTCGCGACCATTAGGGTTTGCATCTTCGGTCCGACAGCCATCCGACTTCGAATCCTCCAAGAGACTTTCTCAAGTACGATGTGTGGACGGCCTAGATTCGACGATTCCTGGTGACCAGACGCACTCCGTTGCATCCTTGCCATAGGATTATTCGTCATGTCCGGCGACACAGCTTCTGAGTCTGAACGATACTCGTCCTCTGTGCGCTCTGTATGGACCCTACTAGGTCTGTCACTGCCGTCGTCTCCTTTCCCCCATTGCTCGCTTCCCGCCATCGCTCGGCAATACCCATGCTGCTGCTGTGCGCGCGAGATGCGCTCACAGCCGTCGCAGCCGAAACAGCCGCGGCCTTTCTGTGATAATCGACATGATGATTGACGACGGAAGGATTTGAGCCTGAGACCTGAATGCCGCTTTTCGAGAGGAAATATAAGTGGCGTAGGCTGGCGATCGCGATCACAGAGCGAGAAGGAGACGGGGCTGCGGAGGAAAAGCGACGCTCGGGAAGGAGAAATTACTGGCGAGATCGTTGTGGAGACAACTGAAAATGTCATGCTGCCAGGGGAGTAAGCGGTGACCACGCCGCCGCTTACGGCGCGTTGATCGGCGTTAGTCCAAAAAGCATCACCACTAAGTGGTACAAAATTTGCGAGAGGTGGAATCTATACTGTCAAGCGTCTGCCAAATCAGAGCAAAAACATCCCGCCAACCGGATTCGAACCAGTGACCTAAGGATTGCTCAACTACAGTCCTCCGCTCTACCAACTGAGCTATAGCAGGACGAGTACGGAGTTCCGTCTTGCTTTTGTTAAATATATCTGTACCGTGTTACTGAGTTTTGGTGCGGTGAGTACGGTGCAGAGCAATGGCTCCGCGGACTTTTTCGACATTCCCAGGATGTAGAGATCCTAAAGCGCAGAGCGTGATTCCAGGTGGGATTGATAGGTGATGGCAAGAGGGCATGAAAGGTGATGGCGAAGGGAGAAGGGAGGTGATGGCAGGTGGAAAAGGGAGGTGATGCCAAGGGGGGAAGGGAGGGCATGGCAGGGGAATGAGATGGATGGCAGAGGGGGGATGAGACGTGATAGCAGAGGGGGGATGAGAGTTGATGGCAGAGGGGGGATGAGAGGTGATAGCAGGGGGGGATGAGAGGTGATGGCAGAGGGGGGATGAGAGGTGATGGCAGGGGGTAAAGGGAGGTGGTTGCAGGGGGGGAAGGGAGGTCATGGCAGAAGGGGAAGGAAGGTGATGGCAGGGGGTAAAGGGAGGTCATGGCAGAGGGGGAAAGGGAGGTGATGGCAGGTGACTGAGAGGTGATGACTGGGGGGAATGAGAGATGATAGCATGGGGGATGAGAGGTGATGGCAGAGGGGGAAGGGAGGTGATGGCAGGGGGGGAAGGGAGGTGCTGGCAGGGGGGGAAGCAAAGTGATGGCAGGGGGGTAAGGGAGGTGATGGCAGGGGGGGATGAGAGGTGATGGCAGAGGGGGAAGGGAGGTGATGGCAGGAGGGGAACGGAGGTGATGACAGGGGGGACTGAGAGGTGATGACAGGGGGAATGAGAAGTAGTATTAGGGATGGATGAGCGATAATAGCAAATGGGATGAACAATGGTTTCAGTCAAGCATGTTTCGACCCTCGCGTTCTTTTCCATCCATGATATGTTGCCGTTCACATATTACCTATCAGTTTCTTAACATGCCATAATCCACAACACCATGAATTAGATTCACGTGTGGCAATTAATTTCTCCCAGCATCGTAATGGCTGCAAGGTGAGTGGCTTTGGCTGGATGGGAATGCTTGCATCACCTGACATCAATGCCCAAACAAGAAAATAACATAGTAGCATATGTCAACGGAGAGGGAGAGGGCTTGAACGAAAACCTACGAAGCATGATGAAGAAGCAAAATCAAAAGGCGGTATCACTGGGGAAGCAATTATCACTTTTGTGACCATTATGCGGTGCGGCTTATCGGCACTGCTGGGGAGAGAGGTGTCAAACTGTGTTTCTATGTTGTAGGCTATAGTGGGGTACTCTCTACGGGGTACAACCCCAATTAGGGTTAGCTATACAATCCTGTACTTTCCTCATTCTAGTCATTACTGTTTCCGGAATCTGACATGGTATTAGAGTAGGTACGTTCCTTAGGGCCCACCAAACGTTCCGCCCTGCCCGGACTTGAAACCTTTTTTTTTCCTGCCCTGCTGCCTAGCGCCAGCGCGCGCCTTACTGCCCTGCCCCCGCGCGCCCAGCTGCCCTGCTACTGAGCGCCCTGCTGCCCTGCCTGAGCGCCGCCCTGTTCGTGCGCGCTCTGTTCGCGCGCGCTCTGCCTGCAGCTGCGCCGCCCTGCCTGCCCGCGCGCTCTGCACGCGCACCCTGCTGCCCACAGCGCCAGCGCACCCTGCTGCCCAGCACGCCAGCGCGCCCCACTGCCCAGCGCGCCAACGCGCCCCGCTGCCCGACGCGCCAGCGCGCCCTGCTGCCCACCGCCCCAGCGCGCCCCGCTGCTCAGCGCGCCACACTGCCCAACGCGCCAGCGCGCCCCGCTGCCCAGCGCGCCCCGCTGCCCAGCACGCCAGCGCGCCCCGCTGCCCAGCGCGCCAGCGCGCCCCGCTGCCTGACGCGCTAGCGCGCCCTGCTGCCCAGCGCACAGCGCGCCCTGCTAAACCCTAAAACAAAAAAAAAAAAACAAAAACAAAAAAACAAAACAAAACAAAAACAAAACAAAACAAAAACCTAGGTGCTGCTGCCCTAGGAGCTACTGCTTGCTACTGCCCTAGGTGCTGCCGCCTGCTGCTGCTGCCCTAGGTGCTACCGCCTGCTACTGCCGCCTGTGCTACTGCTGCTACGCAGCTGCTGCTACTAGCCGCCACTGCCTGCCATGGCCACTACCACTGTCCTACGTCAGCGGCAGCCGGGTGTGCAGGAGTCTCTCTCGCCGCAGCAGCTTCGCGAGTGGGCTATCTGGTGGGGCAGCCCCGGTGGCGGAGCTAGCCGTGCTAGGGCTGGAGGTGCTGGTGCTGGCGGTCCTCGTACTCGTCGGCGGGAGCCGCTCTCGTCGCAGCAGCTTCGCAAGAGGGTTGTCCGGTGGGGCAGCCCCGGTGGCGGAGCCTGGTGTGCTACTACTGGATGTCCCTGTGAGTCTACTCCTTCTGGTAGTGCCGCTGGTAGACGCGGAGGTTCTGGGGGTGGACAGCAGCGACAGCAGCGTTCGCCGGAGACTCTCTCCCCACAGCAGCTTCGTGAGTGGGCTGTCCGGTGGGGCAGCCCCGGTGGCGGAGCTTGGGGTACTAGTGCTGGGGGTGGAGAGGCACCTGGTGGCGTAGAGGCTGCTACTCTTGGTGCTGTTGACTCAGCTAGCACAGGTGCAGAGCCTGAGGAGGCCTAACACACTTTTACTCTCGACTCCGGCGCGTCTCGTTGCTTCTTCCGTGACAGCACCACAGTCACACCGCTCACAGTCCCTGTCCCTGTCACACTGGCTGACCCCTCTGGGGGCCCGGTAGTCGCGCGTGGCGCCACTGTTCTCCCTTGTCCGGCGGCCCCTTCCGGCCTCCTCACAGGTCTCCACCTCCCCTCGTTCGCTAAGAACTTGGTGGCCACCTCTGTCCTCCATGACCAGTGGGTCACTGTCACCCAGCCTGGAGGCGAGCTAGTGGCGATCTGTACGGACTCGCGCACTGGTGAGCACCTCGCCACGTTCACTCGGAGGCCTGGGTGTGGCCTGTACACACTGACCACTGAGTCTGCACTGGAAGCTGAGTCAGGTCAGGTAGCTGAGTCGGTTGAGGTCGCCTGTTCTTGTTCGTGTCGTCTCCTCACGCACCAGACTCTCCTCTGGCACTACCGTCTTGGCAACCCCTCCTTGCCACGCCTGCGTGGCATGCACTCCCGTCTTCTTGTGTCTGGTCTCCCCAGGTCCCTGCCCCCGCTCCCGAGGTCGCTTGCACCGCCCTGCCTTCCCTGCGTCGAGGGGCGGCAGCGCGCCGCTCCTCACTCCTCCTCGTTTCCTCCGACCACTGCTCCTCTGCAGACCCTGCACATGGACGTGTGGAGCCCCGCCCGCGTCACTGGACAGGGTGGCGAGCGCTACTTTTTGTTGGTTGTCGACGACTACACGCGCTACACCACAGTCTTCCCCTTGCAGAGCAAGGCGGATGTTCGCGCGGTCTTGATCCGCTAGATCCGCGCTGTTCGTCTCCAGCTTCGCGCTCGGTTCCAGCAGGACCTGCCTGTCCTACGGCTGCACTCTGACCGAGGTGGTGAGTTTTGCTCCCGCCTCCTTGAGGACTTCTGTGGTGCCGAGGGCATCGTCCAGTCGTACACGCTTCCGGCCTCTCCTTAGCAGAATGGGATTGCTGAGTGCCGCATTGGTCTTGTCATGGATGTTGCTCGCACCTCCATGATCCAAGCGGATGCTCCCCATTTTCTGTGGCCGTTTGTGGTCCGATACGCCGCTGAGCAGCTCAACCTCTGGCCCCGTGTCTCCCACCCGGAGACCTCCCCCACCTTGAGGTGGACGGGCGAGGTTGGTGATGCGTCGGCGTTTCTGGTCTGGGGTTCCCTCTCTCTTGTCCGCGACTTGCCTGCGGGCAAGCTCTTTCCACGCACTCTTCGGTGTGTGTTCCTTGGCTTTCCCACCGACGCACCGCCCTGGCAGTTTTACCACCCGGGCTCTCGTCGTGTGCTGTCCTCCCGCGACGTCACCTTTGACGAGTCTGTCTGCTTCTACCGTCTTCACCCCCACCGCGGTTCCTGGGCACCCCTCCCGCCTCTCTCCCTGGTGGACGACCCCCCCCGGTAGCCCCCCTCTCTCTTCACGGTCCCGCTCCCTCAGGTGTGTCTCAGGTAGACCCACTGTCCTTGGTTGAGCCTTTGGAGGTCTCCTCAGACACCTCTGGCCCAGCTGAGGGGGATGACCCGACTCCTGCTGCCACCGTGACCCCTCGCCACTCTGCACGCTTGGCTGTCCTTCCTGGGTTTCCACCTCGACCGTCTTCACCGCCGCTGCAGCCTGTTGCTGTAGACTCTGGTGCTGCAGGAGGTGGTACCACTGGGGGTGCTGGTTCTGGGGGTGCTGAGTGTCCTCTGGGTACAGGAGGTACTGGAGGTACTGGTGCTAGTGGTCCTGCTACGAGTCGGCAGGAGGCTCTCTCGCCGTAGCGGCTACGCGAGTGGGCTGTCCAGTGGGGCAGCCCTGGTGGTGGAGCTAGCCGTCTTAGAGCTGGAGGTGCTGGGACTGCTGGAGCTGGAGGTGCTGGCACTGCTAGAGCTGGAGGTTCTGCTACTTGTGGTTCTGTGGTTGCTCGTACTGGTGGCACTGGTGCACCTAGGCGGGTGACTCTCTCGCCAGAGTGGCTTCGCGAGTGGGCTGTACAGTGGGGCAGCCCTGGTGGTGGAGCTAGCCGTGCTCGCTCTCCTAGAGCTGGAGGTACTGGAGGTGCTGCTGCCGTGGGTGCTGCTGCGGGTAGTCCTGGCGCACGTCGCCAGGCGTCTCTCTCGCCGGAGCGACTTCGCGAGTGGGCTGTCAGTTGGGGCGGTCCTGGTGGTGGCGCTGGACGTGCTGGAGCTGCAGGTTCTGGAGGTGCTAGCCCTGTAGGTGCTAGTGCTGGTGTTCCTGGTACTGGAGGCGCAGGTGCTGCTGGAGGTGCTGGAGGTTCGGGTTCTGGAGGTGCTAGCCCTGGAGGTGCTGGCGCTGGTGTTCCTGGTACTGGAGGCACAGGCGCTGCTGGAGGTGCTGGAGGCACAGGTACTGTTGGAGGTGCTGGAGGTGCTGTTGGAGGTACTGGAGTTAGTGGTGCTAGTCGGCATGAGTCGCTCTCGCCGCTGCAGCTTCGCGAGTGGGCTGTTCGTTGGGGCAGTCCTAGAGGTGGAGCTGGGGACACTGGTTCTGGGGGTGCTGTTGCTACTGGAGCTGGTGGTACTGGTTCTGGGGGTGTTTTTGCTACTGGAGCGGGAGGTTCTAGGGGCGCGACTCCTCCACCGCAGCCGTCTGCGCTTCGTCGCCTTCTCAGTCTCCCGCCTGCTGCTACAGAGTTCCCGGTTCCTGGTTCTACTCCTCCGTTACTGTTCCCACCGACTGACCAGTCTCAGCCACCGCTACTGCCTGGCTCCCCACTGCCTGCTCCTGCTCCTCACACTGAGGTCACTGTGTCCCTGACTGCGCGTCGTGAGCCTGAGACTCGTGCTTCCACTCCTGAGCGTTGTGAGCCTGAGACTCGTGTTTCCACTCCTGTTCGCGGTCGTTGTGTTGTCCGTCCTCGTGCGCCAGCTGTGCCAGGCACACACCGTATGGCACTTCGTCCTTCCTCTGTTCCACAGCGTGTTGTCCTGCCGTCCCCTCATGCGTCTTCCCTTCCTCCCGTTCCTGACCCTGAGTCTGACCTTGTCCGTGCTGCCAGTCCGATTGTCACTCGTCTCCTTGCCATAGTTGTGACTGACCCTTCCTTTGAGTCTGCTGCTACGTCTGCCTTAGTTGCTGAGCTTGTTGACTTTGCTGCTTTGTGCCGCCTTGACTTCGTTGCGAGTCTTG